ATCAAGGGGTGCCTAAACTTTTGCATCTACAGTATTCTAATTTAAAACAGCTACCTATTCACTACTGACGTGAAGACAAGAAAAACATACATAAGCCTACACAAAATGCATTTCTAAGAAGACCTTTTCTTTAATCCCTAGCACCAGCGCCCAGGCAGGTGTATGGTAATCCAGGTTATGAAATGAGATTAAGAAGAAAATACCTACCAGAGGAGGGAGTCAGCAGGCTCATGATTGTCTCTGGATCACGGCACAACTGCTGAAAGAGAACACGTAGAAGCAGGTATAATGTACATATATTCCACTACATAGGTTACATGTTACTGTATATACAAAACATTTAGCATAATCAATACATTACGACTATATGAAAATTATAAATGATCTACGCCATCATCTCACAAGTAGCCCTTAATAAGATTTCCAGTCATCGTTTTTTTTTTTCAGCCATATTCCTTCATATTTAGGTTTACTGTTTCCAGTTGTAAATCTGCACCCTTCGCTTTAAAAGTGGATTTGATTGACCTATTGTGGGTTTAACAGCTGAATCATAATATGACTGAATCAGAATTCAACCTTGTGTTGTTGACCTTGTGCGCAACAGTAACCTCCTTCCTTTATTCTTTTTTTTGTAACTGAAGACACACAGGTAAAATCCCACATAACGGGCTGCAGGCCACACAGTTCACACATGTCCACTCTTTACTGCTTCATCTTCCGAAACCACCTGCTGCTGTGCACGTTTCAGCTGGCCAGCGGGGGCCCTAATGCACAACGCTCTATCCTCAGCACCAGTCCTGATATGCTGCTACAGCGTTGGACACCCCATATCATACTGTGCAAAACCATCACCTGAGGCATTAGGGCAGCAATCAGATGGTGTAAAATAACAGGTGAATATGCTACTGCGTCACAACCTATGCTCCAACAAATGCAAATTAGGTCCATATTCTAATTTAAAATAGCTACCTATTCACTACTGACGTGAAAACAAGAAAGACATACATAAGCCTACACAAAATGCATTTCATCTTACCTGAAAATACATCCACAGATTACAGTTTGAATAAGTGATGAGACGTACACGCTGAACCTTATTTCCCTCTTTTCTGACTGATTCCTGTTTTGTCTTTCTGTCAAATGGCCCCTGTCTTGATATGCTGCAAGCGCAGAGAGGGAGAAACCCAATAGTCCCTGACAAAAACATTTTCTAGTAAAGTTGAAAGTAAGTTTTATTTAAGCCAAATCCTTTGTTAAGCTCCAAAGATGCCATCAGAACGATCCTGTGATCACCAGTTTTTAAAATTACAAAAAGATCTGCAAGAGGCTAAACTGAAATACAAAAATTAATTCCTGGCCTTCAGATCGAGACTGAATTAATGACTCAGATGAATAAATTTATCATTAGAGTGTATGCCACTATAAAAGACTTGGTGCCCTAATCTAAGGAGGTACTGAATGTTTAATATTAATATCCATGTTCATAAAGTGTAGTCAATTCTGCTACAGCTCTTACCTGGAGATTTAGAAAGAACCCTTCTCTCCCTTGGGTGATGCTTGAAAAAGGCAGCAGGAAGAATATCAGAGTTTTAAAAAATCTAATATCTAATAAAGTTTCCAATAATTACAAAAAGACCTATTATATGGGATACAAGATAAGCTAAACTGGAATACAAAAATTAAAGATGATCTAAATCTGCAGCCGATGCCTCTGCTCTGCTCAAGATGGTGCCCCAAAGAAGCACCTTCTTCTTGTGTCCCAGTCCTTTTATATTTCAGTCACGATGCTCCGTCCACACCCCACCTTGTCTGGTTGCTCAGTGGCTCAGTGATTATTTTGCTAATGAACTGTGTCACTGACTGGAGGACTTGGACTGTGGGAGGAAGCCGGAGCACCCGGAGAGAACCTACGAAGGCACCGGGAGAACATGCAGACTCCACAGAGAAAGGGCCCAGGTCGGCCAGGGCTGGAACCTAGAACCTTCTTGCTGTGAGGCGTGCATCACCATGCAGCCCCTTTTATTTACTAAATATATTATAGATTGATTTATTTGTTATATTTTGTTGTTTTATTTCATTTATTATTATTATTGTCAGTGCATCTTTAATAAATACAGCAGGCTCTGTAAAATGAGAGTACTATACTCATTGGACATATTTATTGTGGAAACCTTGAGTGTAATAATCACCTTTATTTGGCAAAGTATGTTACACACAAGGAATTTGTTTCCGGTACAGAACCAAGGCAGCCATCTGTGGCACCAACTCAACCGATGGCCCTAACCATCAGGGGCAACTTGGGGGTTCAGTGTCTTGCCCAAGGACACTTCCACATGTGGACTGCAGACACCGAGATTCGGACCTCCAACCCACTGGTTGGGAGATGACCACTCTACCCACTGAACCACAGTCGCCCCCTAATCTAATTAGCCTCTCTTCAGGGACTGGTTTACCTGTACAATGGATCATCTGGGAACAATTATGTGATATTAGTGCAGAAATGGTTCCTCTAAACTAACCAAGAGCAGAGCACAGTGAAAACTCACAAGATTACAAAGAGCACATGAATTCTGTTTTTAATTAAGAAACACCAAGAGCAAGAGGAGCATCTTTTTAGCACTGGAAATGGACCAGTCAGGACATCCCGACATGGATAAATTTCATTTGGTACATTTCCATTTGTTTAACAGTTATCAGCTTTCTTTCCCCGCCATTTAAAAGTGTAACAGTAAAGTGTTTAAAAAATCCAAAATAAAAATCTCCATTACTGAAAGTGCACCTTTCATATGTTGTAATGGCATAAAAACAACCAAAAAACTGTGGCACTTTCATGAAAACTTTGCACTGGGCAACAATGTTCAGCTTACAGTATATATGAAAACCCAGTTTAAGAGCAGATACATAAAATGTGCCCAACAAGGGGCGTGCACACACCCTATCCTACTCACCTCTTTACGATCCACATGTTCATGATGACACCATTCTGTGTAGATAAATAATTCTTTAATTGCATTTGAAACCTAAGACTTTTTCTTCACAATGAATGATAAGAATGAATAAGACCAGTTTCCAACCATTTGACCAGGCAGCTCCCGTCAGGTATTAGATATTAGCCTTTAATGGAACAATGTCGGGGTGGTTTCTGAAGAACTTACTGGGAAGCTGTATTCAGTCTGAGTGGAAGAACAAGGGGTGTGGGAGGCGATCCACAACAACCAGGGGAACAAAATCGCAAGCTTCTGTGATTGCTCTAAAACAGCAGAACAAATCCTTGAAACAAAAGTGAGGAAAAAAAGAAAACCTAAATAAATAAAAATGAAGTAACTCTAGTTAATAGTACTCATTTTTAGGATATTAATACAAATATTTTAACCTTTACAATGAGAAAAAGGTTGGTGAAACCCAAAGTGGTTGTGCCATCCACTAGGCAGGCAAGCATGCTTTATTAGAGTTACACTACTGGTCACAGCACCTACAGGAGGCTTCCACTGCATTCCCACATGAGTCGACATTATTAAAACTGTGTACTACTTCTTATCTGCTGCAGGGGAAACAACCTACAGAAACACTGAGCCTTCAGAGTTTTATAGCTGACTGAATTAGCACTAAAGCTACCAAACCTCAAAATAACTTCTTGGAGCTGTTCTGGCTTGACCCTCCTAAGGATGTGGACAATGACAAATGAATTCACACACACAAGTGAATCTATAGTGGGGCTTAAAGTAGAGTGACTTGTGAGAAAGGCCTGAGACATACTGTACATAATCAAAAAACATACTTAGCATACCCACTCATCCTCAATCTACCTGAATGGCAGATAGCTTTGACACATAAAACAATATCCTTGACAACCACACAAAAACTACACACTTTTCAGTTCTTAAAAATAGTTTTTGAGATCTACTCAATCATATAAATCTGTGGAGGCAATAAACCGAGCTATATGGTCATAAAAGCAACTTCAAATGTCATGCAAATCAACAAATGTGACACTAGTTTACTAATCTAAGTTACCAATGTGCTAAAAAAGAACCTACATGTGACAAACTGGCAATCATATGATTTTGTACTGCATCTTCATGTCTGATGTTAGCACCAAAGATTCTTTCTTTTCATAAACAAGAAAAAAACAGACACAAAAGAGTCATTGTGATTGTGATTGACTTGTGACGCAAAGAAAAGTGGCCTGGCCAAAGCAACAGTACTTGGAAATATTTGCGGCTTTTAATTGGCATTTTCAACTTGAGGTGTGTACTGAAGCTGCACATAGTTGCAGTTGTGTGCACTCCTCTCCCAAAAGGCTGAGCATGCCTGCACAAAAAAGGTTCCTCTACAGAAGAGAAGAAAGAAGGCCGAAACTTCTTCAAGCATTAAAACAGTTAGGCTTAGAAAAAGCTCTGGACACACAGTATTAGAACCCAGAATAAACTCTAGGAAAGCTGAAGAGCAACTATTGTTAGTTTGCATGTTTTCTCCCACAAATATAATAGATATTTATATGTATATAAATAAAAATTCAGTGCTGTAAAAACATCTCCCACTCCATAGGATCTGACCCACTGCAGGTTTAATTTGTTTTCTCTTATGCATCGCAGGGCTAAAACTACTGTATACTGTAAAGTATGTAAACTGTACTGGTTCTCCTGTGTTAATAGTCCTTCACTGAGAATACAACACTGAGGAAGAGAAGACTTGTTAATATTGTTTCAATTTTTCTTGTTTTTGTTGTTGTTGTTTTTACTGCACACAGAAAAACATGTCCTCTTGTGTCACCTTGTTTTTTGGTAGCAGCAAAGCACCAAGTTTGTGTCAGGCTGTACGTGTGTAAGTCTCTCTGTGTGTCTGACATCACTCAATAGTCTCTGTGTTTGTGGTTATTCATGTTTGTGTACGTGTGTCTATGAAGAGCACGGCTGCATGTTGGTGCCGTGGGCTACGTGGGCTTGAAGGTCGATGGCCTGGGCTGGCTGCTGTCCTGGCTGGGCATTCATCAGTGTAACGTTCCTCACACAACCTGTTATTCCTGAAGAAAACTTCCCTCCTGTCATAGCAGCCATGTTTGGGGCTCCCCCGCGTGCAGACCGCCTCAATCAATGCCTAATAACATTAAGGAAGACAAAAACTACAGCTTTCTGTAAATGTGCTGCAGACTCAGCAGGGACTGATCCTATCTCACACATACTGCACTGGTCACTAGACACAGATATTCCTATAAGCATACAGCAGAGCTCTCCTAACACTGAGAAAGATTACTGGCTCAAACAAGGAGTGAAACTTCAAGTTGAAAATAATGTTATGAAGATAGAAAAACAGTGTGTTGGAAATTTTAAGATAGCTAACATAGTTATTGCCAGGTTGCTGGCTAAAATGTCTGAACAGCTGTTACAAGAATCAGTACAGTGATAGTGCAGCTGTATGCAGTATGGATGACTGTATAGTTTAATGAAGAACAAACATTTTTTCTAGGCAGCTAGCCAAGAGAAAAGGGTGGAGCTCACTGTGTTTAGCTCCACCGTTAAGCTAATGTAGATACACTCCTCTAGATCGCTCTACTGACTTTACAGCTTTTTTTTTTTTTAGCCAACTGGCTGGAGGTTAAAGAAAAAAAAAGACTTTTTATTAATTTATTTCATTATTTTACTAACAATGATACTTATAAATATATCGTTTTCATATGTTTTTGACTACATTTAGACAGTTTCAGGACTCCATACTTTCAGTCTACTCACCAAGGTATATACTGCCTTTAGTGTTGACCATGAGGCTTTTGCCTTTGGACTGTCCGTGTAGTGCAGCTCCTCCATCAATCTGGATGTAGCCATCTTTTCCAGTTCTGCAAACACAGCACAACTAAACACAAGAACTAAACACTCACTGACAAATTCAGGGAATAGTCCACACTTGGAAATAACAGACCTTTTTCATGCCAGACATTTTAACATGTCACAACAAGGAGAGCACAGATGTGCTTAATGATGCCTGTATTACACTTAGCAGAGATACAGGTATTGTTGGAAACAGACTCACTGGGTTAGTCTACTGAGAAACTCAGCACAGAGCCATCGTTAATGTTATCAATTCCACCTGTGCTTTAAAAAAAAAGTTGTATAGCAGATATAGGTTTTGGTTCTACACACAGGTTCTTAAGAATTTTGTTAAAAAGTGCCCCTGTTGAAACTTTGAATGGTTAGTTTATACCATATACAGAGTCAAACTCCAAAAAACGTCAGGATATAATATGCAATCATACCTGACTGCTGTAATCTTATGCCATTTCCCATCATTGATGGACTTCCTGGACAAAATCTCAGCCGCCCCACTGCCCAGCTGGTAACTGGATAATATGTAGGTGGCCAACATTACTACAACATTAATTTGAATCCAAAATAATAACACACATGCAGATTTCAATAGAACTACGGACTGAGTCACCTGAAAACAAGGTGTCCGTTCTGCAAACCAAGGCTAATGAAGTCCTTTCCTTTGGCGTGTTCTCCGTGTTCCTGGAGATAAACGTGTTATAAGTGTTTAGTTGGCAGAGGAAGAAGTTGTTACATGATGGCACACTGTGAAGAAGTTGTTGCATGATGGCACACTGTGATGTTCTGACCAATGGCCACCTGCACTTTACTCCTTTTCCACACTTAACAATAAACATGAGGCAATGCAGTCAACTGTATTTGTGCATGTGTGACAACCTTTCAAAGAAAATGACAAAAGAAGCCGTCAGCACATTGTGCAATGCAAACACAAATCATGGGGTTCTCCAGTATCTTAGAACTGTTGCAACATACATATTCTTTTGAAAAATGCATGTTATGAAACGTTAGATATAAAAGACGTGTCTTCTGTATGAGTGGATACCTTTTTATTAGCATGCACCTTTCGCAAATTGCGTGTGGCATTGGTCTCCTGAGGAAAATGGAGGATGAGTTACAGAAGCAACATGCACTTATCTAGTGGTGTCAGCCATGCCGGGCTCACAGCCATCATGTTACAGCATAAGTATGAATTAGACAGTATGATGGTGAACGCTGCCCAACAGCCAGTAAAAAACTGAAATGAAAGAAAGTGCAGTACTGCATTATAATGATGTATTATTGATGTAATTCCAAGTAAAAGTGCTGAAGTAGTAAAGTTATGGTGAGGATGAAGAGGTGGAAGGGAAGTTTGTGACAATCAGGCTTAATTTGGATTAAACCATATCTCAGACTTACAGATAAGTCATAAGACATGACCAGAACCAGGACTTACCACCCCCTGCCACAGGATCAGGCCCTCAGGAGAGTGCGTATTAATCTCCAGTTCGATGGTCTCTGGTGAGTCATGGGCACTAACAAAAGATATTTTAAGAAATAACTATTGTGCCCTGGAAGCATTAACTCCTGATAATTCACTGTGAGAACAAAACAATGTAGAAAACAGTTACCTTCTGGGGAAAATGGATTTAGGAAGAGCAATGTAACCGTCATTGTGGAAATGAGCTGCATACTGGTAGGGTGAATCTACAAAAAATGCATCAAGTACAAATGAAACTGGCATTCAAATATTGGTAAAGGTGCTGTGAACTTTCACTTTTACTGTAATAGTGCCCTCCACTGCTGAAAACATGAAAGAGACCCTGGTTAGATAGATGACAGATTCTTTCACAGAAATCACTTAGTAACATTTTATTTGCTGATGGTGTTTAATGTGAGACTACGTAACCTTTAAAAAAAAAAAAGTTCACAACCTATGAAACACACTGTCAATTCAATACACTCAAAGATTTCCCTGTCACAGCTGTAGCTTACTGTGGCTAATTTCATTTCAGGCTCAGAATCCATATGTAAATCTGCAGGTCTGAAACAAAACAACAACGACCAGTATGAACAAACTGTGATGCATACTCATTTGACAGTCGTCACACTCCTCATCACTTCTGACCTTTCAAAGAAATCGGACTGAACTCACCAAAACCACAGCTCCATGCACAACAAATAGTTGTTAGTGACAGCACAAATGTTTGGACATGCAGCAGATTTAATGTTCTGACTTAGACAGTTTCAGACAAAAACACATTTTTGGTTTTCTTGCTGTGCAGACATGTAGTTTTGAAGTAGACAGACATGAAAGATTTGACATTGTGAGTAACCGTCTTACAGGCATTGACATAACAACAGGAAAAGAAAAACGGGGAATTCCACATGTCGAGCATTTTCAGTGTGAAAATGGTCCAAAAACACACAGCAAAAATTAGTTGACCTCCCAGCTGCAGTTTACCATCCTGTTGCCTTTGAACATGGATGCAGAATTCCCCTCTCCCAGCTTTCCAATGGGGATAAGAGTCTCAGTTGAGTACAAATGTATGTTTGGTTTTGTGTTTATGCATGAACGTGTGTTAGGTGATAAGACAGTTTGGGTTGAGTTTGAAAGGAACGTGGGGCCCCTCGGGTTTAGACAGGCCCCTGTTAGTCACTGTTATGTCAGGCAGATTGAATATTAAGATACTGCACCATTTGGCTCGCTAGTTTCCAAATTCCACGGGGCCTCGGGGAAACTGGAGACCTGGCCTGTGTGTGCAGGATACAGCCAGGAGAGTGCAGTGGTGAGACACATTTAATCACTTAGAGTTAACCCTGTCAGCATGCAGGGCACTGTTGACAGGGTTTGGAGGGCATGAACTGTCTGATGCTGTGCATTATAAATGGACAATAAACAAACATATTTCCCAAGTGTTCTGCTGTTTGTCTTAATAATGGTTTACATGGTAATGTTGCCAGTCAGTACTTACTTTCTTCACAGGTCAGGCCTGTGTGCCCAGCTGTGCACACACACTGGCCATTAAAACAGCTGCCACCATTCTGGCACTGACGGTTGCTCTGGCACACATCTTTCACCACCTCACAACGCTCACCTTTAGGGACACATGCCAGTCATGGGTCAGGGGTGAAAGGTCAAGGGTCAAGTTCATTCAGAAGCAGGCTAGTTCACATGATTTGGAGATTATATGTAGACGCAGCTTACTGTTTAGTTTTACACGTTTTAATGAAATACTGAGAGATCTTTGAAGGAGAAGATCTGTTGGAACTGATACTTAAACAGGCTTTTGCCCTGAGTTGCATGTTTCCTACTCCAAATGAAAGCTGATCAGTACAGCTTATACTTAAGGACGCTGTCTTAGACAAGTATAACTTAGAAAATCTTCCATTTACAGAAATAAAAGTGAAACATACATGGTAACTGATAATGAGCAGCATATACAAACTATAGTAGCAACTTCTGTCAGGGATCAAACATTTGCTACATCTTCTCAAGCACTTTGAGAACTGACCTTCAAATCCATCCTTACAGATGCACTGGTACTCATATTCAGCACTCAACATGCAGTGACCACCGTTCAGGCAGGGCCGGCGGTCACAGGGGCTGTTGTCCACACACTTGTGGATAGACCTGCTTTCTGTGAAACTGTAGGACAGATCCACCTTCTTGTTGTTGATGGAAACCTAAGCAGGCAGTGCAGACGTGTTTAAGCAACCACATAGAGATAAATACTTATTAGCGTTTTATTTTGTATTTATTTTTAGCACAGAGAGATCTCACCTCTCCTACACATCCCCAAAACATTCTGCTGACATTAGCAGGCTTCGGCAGGATGTCCATGCTGGGAACTCCTCCAAGGTACATGTGGGTGTGGATATTGAGGCCCTGGGCTTTTCCTGGAGACATCTTCCTCTCCACCAGGCCATGGTCGACCCTGAGGTGGCCGGCTCTCTTGTTCCGCTCGGCCACAACTCTGTGCCACTGGCCTAAAGAGACTGGCTCAGGACTGAGAAGGATTGCCTGGCCTGAAAATCAAGATAGGTCCACAGAGATTTGACTTTCTGACAGTTTGCCTTATAGACCGCAATGTGTGTAAGTGGAATGAACAAATATCAGTATTATCTGCTCAGTAATTTGATCATATCCCTGGTTATTCTAACCATACTAACTCCTTTATTATGTTAATTCATGCACTAAAACATAAAAGCACCAAGCTGATTTGAGGTGCACATAAACAAATTAAGACAACAGCATTTAATGCTTTGTTGAAATGGTCCCAGATCACAGTTTATACTGATATTTGCTTGTCACCACATCACTTCAGAGTGCAGTTTTCAGGAGCAAATAACTTCAGTTTTACACTGTTTACCTGTGCCCAGTTCGTATCTGAGCTCTACATGTCCCTCCACCATGGAGATGGCTACAAAGTCCTCCACCTTCATTTTCTTGCCACCACAGAAGAACATCAGGCCATTTCTCTCCAGGGGCTTGAACTCGAGCTCAACACGCAGGTCATCGTGGATGTTGGTCAGGGGAGGATAGGCTATGTAGGACGCCTCACCATCAAACAGCGGAGTGGTCACCAACTCCCCTAGTAAAGGCAAGAAGATTATTTCATAAAATCTGAAAAGTACAAAAGACAGTGTCCTGTAAATATTTTGAATATGTTTATGGGAGATGAGTGTGATTGATATCCTGTCTTACCATCCATGCATTTGTGTCCAGACTTGCCAAGATGGCAGCGGCAGTCATAGCCCAGGCCACTTGGGCGATTGATGCAGGTGGCATCTGGTCCGCAGGCCTCTGTGGGAGTTCAGGTAACAAAAGGTCACAAACTATTTTTATTATTTACTAATAGGAGGCTGCCATGCTAAGGGTGCATGCTGATAGTCTTGATTTGTCTGTGTGGTCAGGTGACAATTCTTGTGTACCTGAGTGACAGTGCAGGGATGAGTGGTGCTGGCAGTTGCTTCCGGTGAATCCTCTGAGGCAGGTGCACTTATACAAGCTGGCCTCTGAGACCTCACACCTGCCACCATTCTGAATTACACAAGAGAAATCACCTTGATATTATGGAATTCAAATAGAGGGCAAGTACTACAAATACAGCATGTGAATGGATGTCACAGACCTGGCATGGGTGATCTTTGCAGGTGGGACAGTTTGTGACGCCAGTAGAGCTGCGATCAAGGTCTTTGAAGATGACCTCCTCACCTTGGATGACCAGTTGACGGATACAGCCTTCATAGTGCCAGTATTCAGTAAGCACAAATCATCACACAGAAAAAAAAAACATTTTTTCCATACTACATTGTTCTGAGTGACGTCTTACCAACAAACCCAGTCTTAATGCCAGCGGTTTTGTCGAGGACTGTATAGTTAGGGTAACCACCCACATGTAGCTCCTCGTTCAGATCCAGGCCCTGAAACTTGCCCTGAAGAGAGGGAATGAGCATTTACTGTACTGATCACAGAATTCATAAAATACACGTATGTGACAACAGGAGTTCTCTCACATCAACATAAGTACCTGTGAGCTGCCTTTGATGGGCTCTCCTCCATCTACAATGATATAACCCAGGGTGTGGTTGCGATACAGCTCAATGGTGTGAAACTCTCCCAGTTTGACGGGGTTGGGGTCACGTATGGTAGCCATGCCAGAGCCCACATCAAACCTGATTTAAAAAATTGTGATCATCAAGAAGCTTCCTGACACTGTGTTTACTCTAAGTCGTTTTGTTTTAAAAGATCAGTATAAGCTGACCTGAACTCCAAGCGGCCGCCCACAAGTCCCAGAGAGATAAAGTCCGCTCCTGTGGTCCTTCTCTGGCCGTTGTAGAGGATCATACCTGTACCACAAAAACAGGGTTAGTGAGTACTAGTGCAAACGTGATCTTATATTATCTCCTGCAATAATATCCATCTTAATAAGTCTATATACATATACTGTATATATTTTTAAAAAGGCATATTTTCCATCATTTGAGCCCAGTAGTAGAATGATTAACTCAAGATAAATAAGATTTTAGACTAAATATAAGTGGAAGGGACTTGTTAGGATGGACATTATTTGCAATGGAGTTATTCACACACAAAATAAATTCTTTGAGAGCTGTATATGAAAGTGGCATGCTATGATGAGGCAAGTTTAAAGCAAACAAAAGCCAGGTTATAACCTATCATTCTGTCTGGGCATCACTGGGTACAGTAAGGTGTAACCAGTCACATCAGTACAACTAGTCCTCCCTTTTCTTTCTCCACATGCTGGAAATACACATGCTTATGGTTATGAGCCACTCAGGCTGATTAGAACATGCTCTTGTACATCATCATCTCTGATGGTTCTGAAAAAGGGGTGATCAAGAGCGTAGACTGCATATGTGTGTAACATAGCTGATTTTTAAAGTGTAAGTTAGCTTAGACACAGTATCCTACATGTATCACACCTTCAAACAAACAATGGTCACAGATAAGTTGCCAGTCAAAATTGTCAATATAAGTAATGGCAGCCATATATTTCCCTAGATTTTCCAAACATCTTACAGTAATGTCTTATTATTTTATTGTCACCACAAATCTGACACCAACTGTGGGTAGTTTAACAAAAGCCAGCGCTATTTTGAGCTGACTTTCATTTTCAGAAGTGTAGGGATGTTCAAATAAAAACACAACACTTATAGAAAAAGGTGTGTAGCAGTGCTTTTACATAATGTGAGCATACAAAGACTGATTTAAGCAGCAGTGCTACTCTGTATGCGCAGGTAAAGTACTGTAGACTTGGGAGTAGTAAAATTCAATGACTGTAATTCTCCTAAACATGGTGTTGTGATCATGACTGAAGAGCCAGTACAGAATAAAAACACAGGCCATGCACCATCTTGCATCTCTTCACATCTTCACAGATTTTAAATGAGCTCTGAGCTGGATGCATTATGTCAAAGTTTTACACAGCCAAAAAGCGGAACTGCCAACATCAGCCTCCTGTGACTGAGACTCACCAGCGTACAATATAAGACCTTCCCACCACGTGGTGAGAGCAGAGGGAGAAAGGGAAGGGACAGAAGACGTAGTGAATTATACATGAGGAAATATGACATAATAAAAAAAAAGAAAAACATACTTTGAGTTTCAACAAGCAAAAGCTATAAAAGGAAAAACATAGTTCGAGTTTCAACAAGCAAAAGCTATAAAATAACTGTACAACTCAAGCAGATTTATGGTTGTACTCACCATCGACATTATCAGGTCTAAAGTTGATCTTAATGGTGAAGGCCTTGTAGGCATTTTTGATGGTGGGCAGGGTGAGATAGGACAAAGGTTCCTGTGCAAAATATGGCATCACTCTCTCTGAAAACACACAACTGCATAGTTAGATATAGACAACTGAGCAGTTCATGCTAAAATCTTTTATCTGCCAGCGCCCACCCCTACTGTTCTCCCTGCTATGCAGACTAACCGTGAACGTGAAGTTTGGTAAAAGCTTCCACTTTGCCCTGTTTGTTAGACGCGGTACACACGTATGTCCCAGAATCCTCATGGGTGACACGAGGAACTGTCAGTACGTTGACTTCTTGGAAACACTTAGGAGGAAGCTTTCCTTCCAGCTAAATAAAGAAGCAGACATGGAGATTTCAGTATCATAAATAATAAGCATTTAGACTACAGACAGTAAACAGTATTAGAAAGAATTCCTAAACACTCCATCTTGAAAAAAGTGTTCTCTTGAATCATGTATCATGGTTACCTTGGACCATTTGATCTGAGGTACAGGGTATCCTGAAGCCACACAAGGCAAGACTGCATCAGACCCCACTGTCACCTCTTTTGTTTCAGGCAGTGCAGCAATTTGAGGAAGGGCTGTGCAAACAGACAAAGGATTTAAACCAGGATGGGGACAGCTCAGTGCAACTGCCTTTGTATATGTAGCAAAAGGAAATAAAGTGTCTTTACTGATTACTCACACTGGACGTGGAGGACCACCTGAGACTGTACTGAGCCTACGTCATTGGTGGCAGTACAGCGGTACTGCCCAGCATCGGCCTCCGTCACCTGCTCGATCTTCAGCATGCCGCCATTCACAACGACGTGAGCTGGTAGGGCCCCACCAACTTTACTCCATTTGACCGTGGGCTCTGGGTCACCAACAGCCTGGCATTCAAACTCCACAGAGTTCCCAATCATCACAGTCTGCACTGAGGTACGCACATTGATCATCACCTTAGGCAGGGCTGTGGACAAGATGAAAAGTACAGTGAGGTTAAAAGTGAGCGGTGTATATACAGTATGAGTATAGTGTGTTTGTAATGAATGAGACAGACCTTGGACAGTCAGCCTGGCAGTATCCTGGGCCTGACCATACACACTGCTAGCTCTGCAAATATACACACCCTCATTGCTCTGCTCAAGGTTCTCAATCCTACAGAGAAAAGATCAAAATACACAAATTAAAACAAGCCATGGTTGATGTTCACAATATTCAACCTTTAAAAAAAAATGAAGGTACATATTTGTGACTTGTTTTTTAAGATTTAAATCTAGGAATGACAGGGCCTGAGGCTGAGTGCCACAAACAGGTTAGGGATGACGGAAAACACAGAGACAGACTAATGCATTGTCAGGTTTGTGTGTTTATGGTATTTGTTAACACCAGAAATATTATCAAAAAAGTATCGCAAGCAAAAAATAGCTGTAAATAAAATTTGTTGACGAGTATAAAACTGACATCCTCAAGTTGGGCCCTTTAATATAATACATATTAGTTGGGAGCTGTTTTGTCTTGTAGTGTTGCCTGTTTTCACCAAACCAGTCCGTGGTGTGTATGAGTCACCTGAGCACCCCATCCTTGATGTGGTGGTTTGGAGGCAGGGCACCTCCTTCCTTCAACCACTCAATTTTGGTTTCTATGCCTCCTGCGGCTGAACAGGTGAATTCCACAGCACTGCCCTGGGCCTTTACTTCAACCTGGGGAGCTACACGTACTGCCAAAGGGGCTACAGAGAAGGAGGACAGAGACAAAATCACTCTTACATATCTCCTCACTTCCAACTCTATTTTACTCTTTAGACATCTGGTGCAACAGTCTTTATGTCTAGTTATAATATCAAATAATCACCATAACTTACATCTGACTGTGACTCTAGCTACCACTTCGCTGTGGCCCACTTTGTTCCTGGCCACACACTTGTAGCTCCCAGCATCTTCAGCAGTGGCCAAGTTGATCTGGAGGTCTCCTTCACTAACCTGAGCCCTCGGGGACAGGTTTCCATCTAGCTTGGTCCAAGTGTAGGTCAAAGGAGGAGTGCCATGAGCCAGGCACTGTAACCTGATCACCTCCCCGACACGCACCGCCACATCGTCGGGCACAGAAGTGGCATAAGGAAGGGCTAGAAACGGAAGCAAAAAAGTTCAGTAGGGTTATGGGTTTTCTTAAGAAATGTCCAAAGCAAAATGAAACATAAAAAAGGAATTTCTAGTCAGTGCAGGAGAGAATACATTTCAAAATGGGATACAGTTGAATAAAATCAAATAAAGCTAAACTTGCAGGCAAGTATAAGAAGGACCAAGCAGCCGGCATAATTTGGACCCAGAGCAAAAAATCATGAAGCCACAGCACTCACTCTCTACATTTAGCACGATGGTGACTTCAGTGGTGCCCATAGTGTTGGTGGCACTGCAGATGTATTCTCCAGAGTCTTGGCGGTCCACAATGGGCAGCACCAGATTGTTGTTCACCACCTTGTGTCTCCAAGGTAGAGGAGACCGTAGCTTGGACCAGGTGATCTTTGGGGTTGGGATACCTACAAAAACACAAAGTGGAGAAAGGAAAAGAAATTACTGGACAGCGCATTTTGAAAGTCAATTTTAATCAGACCAGAACTGTCTTATTCCTGTGGCATTCATTTACAATAAAGGTCAAATAAAACTGTCAGTACAGTAATAAGATTGAAAACCAAAAGGTGACACAAGACAAGGCACAGCACAAGCGAACTGCAATGACAAATTTTAAAATATTCAGATTTTTAGCAGTCATTACTGTAACAATCCATCAGTCTGGATCAATGCATCAGTCAAATGGCCAGCAATCTGATGTCACTGATGAAACATCGAAGTTAGATGTACCTTTATTGTGACACAACCTGATCAGTCGTTGCAAATAAAGTGAAATCTTTGCAGCACAAAAATAACAGAGGATCTGTGTGATTTAAACAGCTGTCTGTGGAGATTATGCTTCAGTAAACACACCAGAGAGAAGAAATAGACTTGAAGCATGAAAAAAGCAGGGGGTCCAAGGGTGATGCACAGAACGGGTACTAGGGTTGAACATCCAGCCCTGCCCACATCCCCTAACCCTCTTGAAGAAAGCACGGTGACGCAATAGATGTGGGTGGTGCTGGATGAAGATGTGGACGAGGCTGTATGTCCAAACCCACCTTACCAAGGCCTGCAGCCAGTACTACTCTGTGAGTCAGTATATTGTCAGTGTGGACTGACACATTTGATAGACTGGAGCTCTAACTGCTGTGTGAGAAAGCCGAGTGATAAATGCTTTCTATGTGAATTGGTTTTGACCTATAAAGCTACCTCTCCCATCAGAAACACACTGTGGGTACTGAAGTATATTGAATTAAAAACAACACACACAGCACTAAGTGTCTGAAATAAAACTCCAATGCAATGCATTTTTCTAGCTTTTTGTAAATGTGACAATGTAAAATGCTTCCTGTCTCAAAAGTCAAAGGTTATGTTGAATTGGAGGGTCATCATGGGCCCTTATTTGTATTTAAATAGTACTTGAATGTTAACAGAGGAGTATCTGGGAGTTAATAAAAATCTAATTGTGTGATTGATATCAATTGCTGGTCCCTGAATCAAATCAATTAGAAATCATGGCATATGTTTAGGTATCAGCAAACACTGGATTGCTGGGTAAGAGAATCAATAAAAGATGATGAAACTGGTCATTTACACCCTGAGTCCTTACCGTGCACTTCACAGCGCAGTGTCGCAGACTGTCCCTCCACCACAAGCATCAGTGGCTCAGTAACAGAAACCCTGGGCACTGATGGCACTTGAGAGCCTCCCTCAACAATGACCTCCACCCTGGTCTCTGTGGTGCCCTCAGTGCTGCGAACTGTGCACACATATATGCCACTGTCTTCTGGACGTGCCACTAGAATCTGCAGGAAGAAGAAAAATGGACATATTTCTTCATCAACAAGAAGAAGCACAGAAGAAAAGAAGGAATGGTGTATCACTTAAGCTGCTCTAAACATTCTGATATTATCAGATGCATTAGCACCTGCATGACTGCGTTGGACTCCATGGGTACAGGACTAGTCAGCATGATCTTGCGATTCCTGTCCAGCCTGTGCCATGAGACTGAAGGGCGGGGTTCTCCAGATCCCTGGCATTCCAGGTTAATGGGTTCACCCACACTAACCCGCACAGGACCAACAGGGGTGACAATGGCCACAGGAGACCCTGAGGGCACAGATGCACAATACTATTTTGGCTCCGTTTCCAAACAGCCACTAGAGGGCACTATTCACTTAGACATTTGAGGGTAGTGTGAAATTAGATATGTGTGTGCATGCTGATATGTGTGTAGCTTACCTTTAACTATCAGAGACACCAGGGTATGGGTGATGCCGAACGGGTTGCTCGCTATACAGCGATAGGCACCGTGGTTGATAGAGTGGGCATTGCTGATGGTAATAACAGAACCATCAGGGCTAACATCCACATTATCTGCAAAACAAAGATGCAAATGAAACAACAGATTTGTAAAAGACACCTGAACCTTTATGGTGAACTCCACCTAGTTTACCCATTGTGATTGACACTACTCAGCTTGTATGAACAGAATATAATGTATTCTGTGGCTCTGAATGGAGTGTCCTAAAAATACAATACCTCAGATGATGAGGTTTTTTTTCTTCATTACAAACTAGAAGTGTGGGGTTTGAAAGAGGTGGGGGGCAATTAGGAGGCAAAAGGGGTCTGAAATAAAATGCTAGTTTACTTATGAGAATTCTGTAGATGATCCAGTGTTTTTGCAATTTTAATCTGTCTCTTGTGAGTCCCCAAGCTTTTTGGGAAAGCTAAAATAAAGTGCTAGAGTAGAGTAGCCCCTTAAGATTCTAAGAAAACCTCAGCTAAAGAAATCTTCATTTAAAAACTGACAAAGGTAAAAGCAGTACAAATCTGGGACTGGAGGAAATGACTGATTGCAACATGCACATTCTATTTACAGTTTTTATTAAACGTGCACCACAGAGCATATCTATGTTTTGACAAGAGAACCCATTATGTCATGAAATTCTACCAGGCATAACGAATACCATGCAAAATTGTACTAATGCAAAGATGTCAACGCAAGTCTCAGAGAAAAAGATTTCAGTGTTATCAGTAACAGAGGAGTACTGCAGGAGGGACTTGCAGCTGTAACTGTCTGTAAATAACGCCATAATAAAATCACAACTCACAGAGCAGGATTGTTCCTCAGAGAAGGTATGTGTGGTTATTACCTGGCAGGGGCTGGTTGCTGGCCAGTTTCCACTCCAGTCTGACAGGCTGAGCTCCGCTGTACACCCTGCACCTGAAGCTGGCTGACTCCCCCACACGCACTGCAGCAGTGTGGGGCTCAATGGCAATGATGGGACTCTGAAGACCTGCCACAGAAAAAGAGGATTCTATTAGGACTTTAGTGATCTCACTTCATTAAGCTGACTTGTTATTCACAGGCACTTGAAGTAATAAGTACTACTTAGTGTTGCCATGGGCTGCACTGGCAGCAATTTAGGAGCGCAAACATTCCAGGAAGGAGTGAATGAGGATGAGATCACGGGCCAGTAGTGAGGAAAGTCATTCAATCCAAGGTTACTTGGGCTACACTGGAAAGCACAACTGGAAAGTTCATTCATGAAGTGAGGCAGTGTTTGTGTGAGAACAACACCCTGCCATGTAACGCCCTGCTTTTAATGAGTTTCTCCCAGTCTCTGACTGATGCTGTCACCAAGTAGAATTTCCTTAGTGAGGAAGAAAAGGCTGCCAAATCAAATAAAACAGCCCAACCTTAAGCACAGTGAGATTAAATATTTGGAAAAATAACAAAGTGACACATTTATTCTGTTGCATTCTGCTGCAATACAGTGTCAAAATTGTTTTCTTATTGGTCCATGAAGAAAGACAAGCCAGAGGCCATAAGTGTTGACTAACTTACGTGAAGAAGATGAAGTGACAGACACAGAGACAGAGGACTGGTGGATATGGGATCCTGGGCTTCCAGGGATACTCTGTACTTGGCAGATATATTCTCCTGAATCCTCTGGAGTGGCTGACAGAATTCGGAGCTGATTGCCCAGAACCTGCGCATGGCAGAAGAGGAGTCAACTAATTTCAGTTCAGCTTGCAAAACAAAGCTCACCATTTCACTCCATCCATCCATTTTCCTCCTCTTATGCGACACCACTTTACTACCAATGGCAAATAACACTATTAAATACTAATACTGACAATAAAACCTAATATCAGTATGGAATTTGATATTAAAATGCTGATCAAATTGACAAACCAACTGTATATGTACTCAGATTTTAAGAACTGGCCTGCCTAAATCAACATACACTTTTTATGTAGAGAATACCTCTAATTACATATTGGACCTCAACAAGAATCTAGATGTATGTGCTGACATGTTCAGACAAGCTTCAAACTATGATTCTAATCTAATAATTAAGTTTTTGAGGAATTTGGAAACATATGTTTCTGCTGCAGAAATTCACAACCTTTACCAGAATGTACCAGTGATTACCTGATGGTTGGAGGAGAGGGGTCCCCTGGCTCTCATCCAGGTGACTTGGGGAGGGGGATTTCCAGGGGCAAAACAGTTGAGCTCCAGACTCTGGCCCTCCTGGACGTTAGCTATAGATGGCTGGATGCTGACCACCGAAGAGCTATGGTCCGCTGCACGAACAAAATCACATGCACCACATTTGTTTTTCTTATGAAAGATTCACTCAGACATAAATATCCATAATACCGTATGACCTTACAGGAAGTAAGGATGTTTTTTTTGTATTGTATTGATGTATCGTTTTGATTTATTAAACATTTTTCACACAATCTATGTACAGATATGGGAAATACTTGTTTTATTCCTTCTTTTACAATCACTGTGCTTGTAATTAAGATGTATATGAAATTATTACTATTATTATCAGTTGGTGGGCAACCTTTGACTAAACTGTGCAAAGAGAGGAATGGCTGACAGGGTGGACAGGGAAGGTTATAGGTCTTGGGACAGAGGGACACAGGAAGACATATGTAGGTTTTACTTTAATATAACCTTTGCTATAGTCAAACTATACCCTTGTCTGTTATTTATTCATATCTTATCGTCTCTAATTTGATGCAGCAACAGCAAAAATAAATGTTCCCCTGTCGGTACAGCCTCCAGAGTAGAAATAAAAACAACCAAACCAAACCAGACAATAAAGTCAAACCTATTATTGTCCCCTCTGAATCATCACCAACAAATGTCTAATGTGAGCTAATTCAGTTTGACCATCATGTCATCTCACCTTTGAACACAGTGACTTTAATTGGAGCACTATTTGAGCCAATGCTGTTGCTGCCAACACACATGTAAGTGCCTGAGTCAGACACCTTGATGTTGGGGATGAGCAGGGTACCGATGTCGGTGCGGTCCGTTTGGGCCTGGAGAAGACACATCAATAATCAAGGAGATTAAAAAACTATAATTTGACCACTGAAATTTCCTGCCATGGTACACAGCATTGTATATCATATGATTTCACTAATATTTAAAACATATCAACACCCATAAATCATCTACTGAAGACAAATCACATCACTTACCTGTCTCATGTCCCTTGAAAAACAAATATGACATTGCTGACATCATGACATCACTACCTAGTAGCGACACAAAAGCACTACAGCGAAGCTCTTAAAGACAGGACAAGAGCTGTTATTGCTACAGTTCAGTCTTTCTGTAAATGGATTTTGGCTTATGATTTCTATGGCACAAAACTTTGTCCACTTTGTGTTACTATATCATGATCAATGATAAGTAAGTCCACTACACTATTATTGATTCTGAAAAAATTAATGATTGGTGTTTGCAAAGATTATGAAACATTAGAACTGTTAGAACTGACAGTCTGACAATTTGTGACACATTGATTTGAGCCAGAGGTTAATCAATAAGCACCAAGCCTGGAAGTTCAAATATCTGAATATACTGAGTAAAACCAAAATCTGACTGAGTTTCAAGACTCAGATTAAGGAAGTCTCAGGACTTTCTGGCTCATGTGCATTCAACAACTTTGCTAGTTTGCACATTACTCCACATGGTAGTCAGAGGCCCGGCACGGCTGAAAACACGCTTTCATAAAGTTTGGAAACACCTCAGAGGGGAGGGGAATCAGGAGGGAAGGGTCTGGGGAGGGATAACTGTATCCAGGGAGTGTTGGGGCAGCTATGGACAAAGCTGCTTAGCTTCAGCCCAGTCAACCGTGAGGGAGGCTAAACCCAGCAGGGGCTGAAGCGGGCACTGGCTCAATGTGTGTTTGAACCCACTGACGAGTTTTCAAAGCAGGCCTTTTGCTAGAGCATACAGAATTTCTGCGTGGTCGCACGTCAGAGCCTGGCGCCCCCTGGGAAAGGCTGACACTATGCAGTAGCTCTCTGAGGCAGAACTAAACAGGCCCTGGAGCCCTTCCCAACCCAAGTAGAGGGCCGTGCAGAAACCAGACAAACACAAACCCCCCTGGGGCAGGGGGGCAGTGGGCTGCGCCTGGCACGGTTTTAAGTATGTCTGAAATACCTACAGTACCTACTGTAGTTTTAGTCCTCTTAATACATAGTGGAATGATAAGGGTCAACTGGGTGCTATGAGCCCAAACACGTCACAGATGGTATGATGTGGACAGTACAAAACAACAAACTATACAAGACATATTAATGAAACACAACATAAAAACAAGTACTGCATGCAAGTACACCACGAAGTCAACCAGACAAATCTACAGCAGCTTGTTTGTAACTGGCACCAGCTCTAAAAAGACTTAGTGAGCACCTGAGCTAAATTAACAAGATTTACAAGGTGTGTATCAAAGACACTGATCATGCACTTAGTCAACCATGTGTGAGGACAATGGACATGAGCTATGAGACAGGACAGACAGCAGACAGATGGACAGACCTGTAGGTCCTCAATACGTCTCTGTAACACATCGACACTGTTGCTTTTAAATTGATGGAAACCATGAGAGGAAATAGCCTGAGCAAATGTCAGAACAGGGTGGGATCAAAAAAGAGAAGGAGACAAACAGAAAGTAAATGTAAATGGCAAAACAGTCATAACTACTGACACAGTATGAAGAAACACCATCGGCACTGGACACACCTTTCGGTACCACAGAAGAATGTAAATACAGCTTTTAAGTTTGAAAACAGTCTGTGTTCACTGAGGCACTGAGAAAGCAGGAGATGTCTCACCTCTGGAGGGAGATGTCCTCCATTCTTCAGCCAGGTGAGCTTCGGGGTGGGTGATCCTGATGCACGGCAGTACAACCTCAATGTGTCGCCTTCTTGAACTTCAATATTTTGGGGGCTGACTTGGACTTGGGGCTGGGTGCCTAGGCCACTTGGGTGGGACTCTGATCAAAAATGCATAGAGATTATTCAAAAACAGAAGATATCAGCCATAATTTGCTGTGTTTCATTAGTTCTGTTGTCTTACACTGTAACTGCTACAGCAACACAAACAAAAAGAACCATGAAGTCAATGAATGGGCTCAGGAATGTTCACACACACAAACACAGAGCGTACTTTGTACAAAGAGAGAAACCCGTGCTGTGTGCTCGCCATGAGTGTTCAGGGCCTTGCAGGTGTACTCTCCCTCATCAGCTGGGTCCACTGCTGTGAAGGTCAGTACACCAGCTCGTATCACAGCTCTGGGACTCATTCTGTTCCCTGGACCTCCTGCAACAACCACATAGTTACATCCTTGTACCGAGGGCTGCACTTGGCTTTCCTTAAGTGCAATAAATGAAAACAAAAATTGGCTTTTCCACTCAAATTAATATGATTTAATTCAACAAGGCCTGTACCAAGCACAGCAAAAGTGGAGTTCAAACTGTTCTTACCGATCCATTCGATGGCAGGTGTTGGGTTGCCAGTCACTGCACAGTGAAACTCTGCCCTCTGGCCCTGCCGGACGTTCAGCACTGAGGGAGTAACGGTGGCCACAGGCTGGGCCCCTACTGCAGCTATAGAAGGAAACACATCAGTCGAGCAGCTCAAAACAGACACTTCCCTGAGATACGTGGAGATTTAAAGTATGGTAATGCAGACTGGTTTACTGATGCAGTGAGGGAGTAGACTGAAAAGTGTCAAGAGTCTAGAGCTCTGGAATTGCAGTATATGTTGTGTAAACTGTGGGACCAGACTGAGAGAGTGTGTAACAGCCTCTGCCTGCGCCCCCACCCTCGGCTGTCTAGATCCTCTGAGCAGATGGAACAGATGAGATGTGGCAGGCAGGCCTGGGCATGGCCTCTGTGCATACTGCTCTCTGCGCCACTTTGGTCTGGCTGCTAGACTTTGTATTCAATCCAATCCTGTATAATCCCAGGATGACAAAGTAAATGAAAGGCCTCTTTCAGCAGGGGGGGAGGCTATCTCAGCAGGCTGAAAAACACTGGATCTATCCTAGCCGGGACTGACCTCAGTGGTACCAATACTCCAGGACAGAGAGACGTTTCATCATCTATGGGACATGGGGCTATCATAATGGCCTTAGGTTTACACTGAACAGTGAATGGTTTATTTATGAGTATGCATGCATCCTGTAGAGTCTCTGCCATGGGCTTTGTCAGTATCTGTGGTAAAATCAAGAGGTGTAACTTAACGGTCAGTTCACCCAGACTAAGGAATAAACCCCTCCTCACAGATAGTTTTGACTTTATCTGTCCAGGTCTTGAGACATCTGTCCACCTATACCCCAGTACTATGGAGGGGAACAACATTTCATTTGTGAGCTGAAATTACAGGAAAAAAATGCACTTAAATAAGACTAACAAAAGTGCAGCTGTATTGCAACTTAAAACTAGCTTCATGGGTAGGTACCAGGTAAGGAGAGAAAAGTGCTTATCATATATTTTGTATGTTTGAAGTCTTAAACCTTCATCAACTGATATCACGTTTACATCTGCATCTGTTTGATGCACCGAAACACAGTTTCTCACACTGGACACCAGTCTGCTACCCACACTGAGCAAGGGATGGGATGTATTAGGCACAGTATGATGTTTGAAGCCCAGATGACAGCTTTTTCTTGGTACAGCATGTTTCCCATGGAGAGCAGAGTGGAGAGGGAAGAAACAAGAAAGGATGCCTCAAGTCTCTGAATGCTGAGACATGGCCCCGCCCCTCTTTCATGAATTAACATTCACAAGGAGTTGCCCATAAGAATGAACATGCACCTTTTTCTGCAGTGATGGAGCCCAATGAACCCAAAGAATATAGTGGGAGCCAGGAATGCTCATGCACAATCTTCAAGCTTTCACTCTAAGAAGGACAGGAGCTTGATAACTTAATAATATACTGAAAGTAATAGAGCTAAAGATGACTGCTTACTAACAGAACATAACACATAATGCTCTGAGCCATCATGTATGAAAGTGAGGGTAGAGTGCTACTTGGCTGATTGTACATGGACACAACCGCTTACCAGAATATCCATGCTGCAGAAGATGAGTGCATGCATGACACAGAGAGAGAGAGAGGCCCGGTCCCTCAGGGAGACCAGCAGAGAGGAAACCATGCCCATGCAGACTTACGCTTTCTGCGTCCTTCAAACATTTCATAGGCTGTGTAAAACATCTGAGTCTGTGAGGCCTCTGGAGATGCAGGAGGGAGGGAGGGGACAGGTATACTGACAGGTCAGTTCTCCAGGGTAACAGCAGTTTACCTCTCACCTCCCTGGAGACACTTATATCCACCTCCAAACGTGGGCTGTCGTGGCTTCGGCCAATTGACTCCAAAAAGCGTCACACATGATGCAAACTTGCTAAAAGAACCATGAACTTGACTTCAACTGGCACCAACTTTAACAATGTATGATCACTGTTTTCCAGCAAATGATTGATTTTCCTGTTTATGTTTATGATTTTCTTTTTGGTAGTTAATAATCATCATCATGATAGTTGGTGCCATTTAACTCATAGCTACATGCATTCAATTTTCACACTTACTGATACTGAACTGATGTTTGTTGAACAGCAGTGCATTGATTAGAATAACTGTATTGTTTGGAGCATTTAATGGTTATCTCACACTCAACACCAACCACAATAAGAAACAACAATGCTCAAAAATGCTTCTTATTCTGTAAATAATCAAAATCAAGAAACACAAACACACATATACACTCAGTGTGCATGCCTATGGGAACTGTACAGCAGCAAACGGAGAGATGAGGGTATGAAGAATAGCCACACATGAGACGTGCAGGTTAGTAACTAGAAGCAGTCTAAAACACTGAGACTCTAGTTTCATTACAGCTGTTAAAAAGCTGACATACAGCCTGTGGTTACCCCTAAGTGATTGAGATAATAAGTCAGTGAGCCCCATCCATAAATTATCAAATCAGTTTGATCATTTTAATCAATTTTCTTTTGTTCACAAAATATATTCACAGTTGAGATAAATACATTGCAATGTGACACATCTACATTATATCAGTTAGGTGTCCTTTCAAAAGAAACATCTTTAAAAATAAGCATAAAATCTTTACAGAAGCACCGTGGGTATAATCATACTGTATAGCTTTTAAGTTAGTAGGAATGCACCAATACAAAAATGCAGTCATGGTTGATACAAAGATCTGAATGGTAAAAGAAATGTGACCTGTTTCTGTTGAGGTGTAAAATATTCTTAGAGATATAAAATATTTTCTTATAAAAACACCAGAAACTGCCTAAACATAAACACACATGATAAAAGGAAACCGTCAATTTCCTTGAACAAAAAAATTAACCAAAGAAAACAAATTTCAACTTTTCTGATATTTTTGATTTTATGGAAAAATTTCAGGAAAACATATTTCAGTCAATCGATAAAGAAAATATGGCAGCAACATTAACAAGATGGACATAAAAAGAACAAAATACACAACTGTTTCCTGACATAATTTTGGTTTCAAAACCTTTTTTGCATTATAAAACTCAGTTGTCAAATATTTTCCCAACTAAATCCGAGACGTAACACTCAGGTCAAACAGGACCGACTTCGGCCAACACCAAAGGAATGAAGGAGCGATATTAAAGTAGCACAACAGCACTTTGAAAAACAGAATTCAACCGCAGTTTGAACCAACTGCATGGCTAATAGCACCTTTCTGTTCTTCAACATTCATCATCAGGTCATCAGGGGACTAACACTCATGGTTATTGTGAGAAGGAATACTGTGTCAAGTGGAACATCACAAAAACATCAGGGGTGGTGGGCTTCTTCCCACTCCTCCTCTTTTCCAGTTACACTGAAGTCCTCTGAATGTCAGTCGCCGAGTCACTAAGCACCCACGATGGCATCCGCAGTCCTTCTCACTGCACAGCACAGCTCAGGCACAGAGGAACCCAAGGAGCTCAAAGTTTAAGACAGACACCAGAATCTAGCACCCTGCTAATAAAACCTCTAACAGCAGCACCCGGCAGCTCTACCAGTGATCAGGAAGCAACCAAACCACCACCGATTACACAAACCAAGGAGGAAAGAAAAAACATTTGTAGTAGAGTGTTGGTGGAAAGCACAACCCACAAATCACTGATCCAAAATAGTGCTCATTTGGCCCAAGCCTAGTTAGTGTGTCATGACTTTGAATGGTCAGTAGTCAAGCTATAGCTAATATAAAACTGCATACTTGGCCCCATGTGTTATCTGAAAAGTTGTAGTCTTTAGTTTTAACCAAACCCACAAGCTGTATTTCTTCACATAAAGCGCAGAAAAATCCACCGATCACAGGCACAAAAGACAACAAGTTGAATAAAAGCAGTAAGATGAGCTGGATGGCAGTGTGAGGATGACACTGGCTTGTACAGACGGTGACAAGTGAAAGGTAAAACCTGATGGGAGTGGTCTCTTCCAAGATGACAGTGTTCCCATAGGGCACGAGGGATCACTGAATGGTTTGATGAGTATGAACATGATATGAATCATATGCTGTGGCTTTCACAGTCACCAGATCTCAACCCAGCTGGCGGCATGTGGTGGCACAACACTTTATTAGACACTTGATGCTGGTTTTTCCTTTAATTTGTCACCCGCCTGTACATCAGTGTGTGAGGGCAGAGGGCAAATACTTTGGGAGTTGGAACTGCAAGGTTATTATGATGTTACCAGGGCTGAGTGTTTACAATGCTCAATGAGAAACGCAGTCAAACAGAGAAGCATGCATCATTCCAAGCTGAAGATGTGACTCATGTGTAGGGAGGGTAACTATGGAAGCCAGAGGTGGTAGTGTGGCAAGGGGTGATGGGTAATGGAATGCGGTGCCGAGGATCACAAACCTGGCACATAGAGGACGGCATTGCCTTCGTCCATGGCAAACATGTTGGAGCCAGTACAAACATAGATGCCCGCGTCCTCGGGCTGGACATTCTGAATTGTCAGGATGCCATTGAAGTCCATGGCCCGGCTGGGAAGCTTCCTGTTACCCAACCGGGTCCACACCAGGGTGTAGGCTGGCGACTGTACGGGGACGGAAAACACACAAAATACAAGATGCTTGGAATGTTATTGGTTACATGTGGGAAAGAAATGCTGTTGCTGTTCAGCTATTTAGAGACAATTTGGGATTTTATGGGCCCAACTATTTCTTAGTCCAGCGCAGCGGCTTCTTAGAATTCTGGTAGATGGTTTTTATAACCTTTGGACAAAGCCAGGCTGTCTGCCTCCTCTTTTCTCTGGTCTTTGCACTACGCTGAGCTAAACAGCCGCTGACTGTAGCTTCATATTTAACACGATGGTCTTCTCATCAAACTCTTGTAAAGAAAGACAATGTCAAACCATTTTAACCTTTAAATGTAAAACATTTCCTTAAAAAGTAATTTAATAACTGTGTTACCTTGCTCTTTGCAGTACAGATGAAGTTGACAGTAGACCCCACCCTGACAGTCTGAGTTCTGGGTTCCTCAACCGTCACCTCAATGGGTCTGGATGGGACACCTGGGGAAATGCACAAATCAGTTACCCTGAGTGTTTATATAAACTGCCAGGGTTTTGTAAATTATAAAGTGAAAGTAAACTTTATTTGATCAAATTCATGATGCTGTACAGTAAAAGCTAAGTGTCAGCTGTGTTAAAACATATCCCAAACATCAAACAACACATACTGACAATGCACAATGCGCACAGTCAGTGAAACTGAAGAATGAAGTCTTTTGTAATCCCTGCATACAGTACGGAAACCCATATGTTGAACCATGGACAGAATCTATTTAATATGTCTCAAAAGCAGTATGAGGGGAAAAAAACCATTTGCTTATGGACGTGAGACCCATACACACTTGTGACAACAATTTCAGCATGGCTCCTGTTGGTGCTGCGCAGGTCTTGGCAGGTACAGATGTAGACTCCGGCATCACTCGGCTGCACGCTGGGGAAGTACAACTCTGCTCCTGCATGTGCACATGAGCAACAGGTGTCATATTCACACATAACATATTGTAGAATTTGATACAGTTCATCATATATCACATGCCATTTGTCTGTTGAGCTCAGTTAGATCAGGACAAGTGTTTCAAACCAAAAAGACAAAGTGCAAACATTTTTCACTAACACTTTTGGGATTTCTCAGACATACACAGGATCATATCTGTCCATCCCACAGTAGCTGTGGCTGCACAGCTGAAGTGTGCTCCATACCGTGTCTGCGTTTCTCAGTACTGCTGGAGATGGGTCGTCCATCCTCTCTGGACCAGAAGAAGTAGTGCGGAGGAGAGCCGGATACTTGACACCTCAAAGTGACAGGACCACCCTGGGATGCCAGGACCCTTTCTGGATAGATCTTCACCACCAGAGAAGCTGCAGCTGCAAAAAGTAAAGGTCAAAACAAACTCAACGTAGTAAACTAGACTTCTTATTTGTGTTTCACAAAGGAAATGTTTTGAACCTCAAGCCAAAACAGGTCAGAGGTACAGTGGCTACGTTTAGATGGATGAATCACTAAAGGAATCTTATGGTCAAAGCAGACATATACAGTATCTTGACACAAGATACAGTAGAAATGTGTACAACTGGTGCAAATAAAGAATTGGGTGGAAAAAAGAAAGTGATAAAAACTGTCTAAACTGAAGAAACGGTTCCACTTTTTTTTAGCTTCCTCTCCAAATTATCCTACTAAATCTTTTCAAGTTCAGCAGCTGCATGCTACAGTATATATTTCAACTTCTCATAAAGCATTTTTAGTTAGTTCTGGCAACAAGAGCATATTTTTTAATTTCATATATCATAAGCACCATTTAGTCACATTTCAGTTAAAGCTTACCATCGTATGGACGACACTTCTGTCTCTCCTGTGGGTTGCCAACGTATCCAGGAGCACAACTGGTGATGATAAAAACACGCAGAAGGAAGGTGCCCTCCAATAAGTTGAATTTATAAAAATGACCCCTTGAAATGTAACCATGTGGATCCACGCCTGGAGAAAGTGTCGTGATATCTTACCGTTCACAATACTGGCCAGTGTAGCCCGGCTGACAGGCGGTGCACTGGTAGCCTCCATTTCCAAGGCTCTCACAGGTAGGAGAGAACCTATTACATGAGTTAAACACACAGAGACAAGAACCTAACTGTAGTGCAGAAACAAGTTTAAATATCAACTGATTCAGCAAAACCTAGTAATTTAGTGTCACATTCATATTTTGCTGTGAGTTGAGCAAAGCAGCTTCAGGTAGAGGAACCAAAGCAGGACAATGGAATTAGCTGTCCCACATTTTGTCACATTTTACTGAGGGATTTCTGCAGTATACAGTCGCTGATTTGTTCAGTGAAGTAGGGATATAAACACAGATGACTTCAGATGGAGAATGAATATGAAATATTTCATTTTAGCTACATGCAAATAACAAACATGTTACTGGAATAAATTCTGAATTAAACTCCACAGTGGAATTTGCTGTGAACAAGAACAAGTGAGCTGGACACAGGCTGGTGTTGAGCTATAATTAGAGGTGGAATGTGAGTCTTGGTGTCTGTGCCAGCACTCACTGGTTGTCAGGGTCAGGATGAGGGCAGGCGCAGGGCTGGCAGTCCTCTGGAGTGCCAACAGTGGGGTCGCCATAGAAGCCAGGGCCGCACTGATCGCAGAGTTCACCCTGTGTGTTATGCAGGCAGCTCTGGAAGGGGGAGCACATTGTGTTTAGAGATCTGTCCATCGTGTCAGGGTATTGCAATCTAGCCACAGCAAAGCTCAGTCATACACTAATCTAGTGCTTATACCGTGCAGATGCCGGTCTCTGGGTGGCAGGTGTCGGAGTGGCCGTTACATTCGCACAGCTCACAGTGACCCAGGTATAAACCTCCTCCAGTGCGAGTGTATCCAGGTGCACAGTCCTAAAACAGACATCATGGGACTTAAACACATCAATGGGTGTTTTAATGAAGCAAAACCAGCTTATATTGTTTCCACCAAAGTCATTAAGTCTGAAAAAGTGGTCACTTACCTGGCAGGAGAGTCCCTGGTACCCAGCTGGGCAGCGGCACTGCTCCACCTCGAGGGCCTGTGCCAAGCCGCTGTAGTTGGGCACAGCGACTTCCATGCTGATGTCAGAGATACTGGAGGAGCGCATCTCAGTGGAGTAGGAAGCGCGGACAAGGATGTCATCTAGGTCAGCCAAAACCATCATCAGGTGTTCACGGTTGGCAGGCATGCCGTCAGGACGATGCCAGTGTTCCTATGAAACAAGAAGATAGTGGATACTTGTATCCAATAAGAACAAGCGTCCTTCTGCTTGCCCAGATCACTGCAGACACACTGTGTTCCTGTGCTGTTAAGACCCACTCACCTCCCTGAAGACAATCTCAAAGTGGTGAGTCTCTCTGCTGCCCTGCTGTCTTCTCTGCCAGGGCTGACGAGCTACCAGAGTGATGTCGTTACCCTGCAGGAACAACGCTGAGCAGTGAGGAAACGTTACGAAAAGTAATCATGGGAGAAAACAGCGAATCAGCATGGAGGCATACTCACAATTATTTGGACGTCAGCATCATCAAGTTGTGTTCCTCTTGGACCAGCCACATAAGAGATGGTGTATTTCAGTTTGCCACCATAAGCACCCACCTAAAACACAGTTAGCAAGGACCAAACATCAAACAGTGACCAAGTGTGGCAAAATTCAGGGCCAAATGGTTTAGAGCCACACAGGGAGTCAAATCCTGTGTGCTAAAAGGGCAAGCTAAAACTTCTGTTTCCAGCTTTAACGTGTGGGAGTTACAGCGTCAACAAGATGATGTCACTAGTTTTTGGTGTGTTGACAGCACAGGAGCGCCCCGTTTTACACATTAACTCTAGCTTTCTCATAATATGAAAACCTGGCGGTGTTTTTCACACGTGGATTAACAGGTTACACGGAAAATTCTGTTCAAGATTTCACATGATCCTTTGGTTTTTCATAAGTCTTGCAGGACGTGCTCACGGCAGCATAACCAACATAATCTCAAACCTATATGGGAGCAGGTTTGTTCTCAGGGTCATTCAGTGCACTGTAGATAACCTTTCAGATTTAAACAGGGTTGGAACAGGAAGTACTGAGAGATCAACAAGACCCTACGGCCCATCCCGACCTGTTCTTAATCAAACCTTTTCAGTCGGAAGGGAATCATTTATTTATCAGTGGGTTGTTATCGCCTCATGTTAGGGGCCAGACAAAGCTCACACCACACAGTCAGTGTGCAGTGTGTGCATTTTTCTTATTGGTTGGTAATTCAGCAAATCTTGTTGACTCTGAAATAATTGCTAAGAGTTTTCTTAGTCTGCATTCATCCAGTGTGCTTTAATAACAACATGAATAAACTGTTGCAAGTGGAATTCACAACGGGTAAGGGCTTGACATATTCTAACAACCGCATGAACTCATGTGCATGTGATGATGTGAATGGTGAAATAATTTCTAAATGTTCAGGAATAAAGCTATTTACCTAAAATGAAACTGATTTACAGTATTTATACACAGCTGATAACTGTTCAAATTGTAGACAACAACAATTATTGAAATGTATTGAACGGTTCTTATTTGTATGAGAAATGCTTATGTTGCACAGAAGAAGCAGGAGAATGCTGAGGCTCAGCTATGGAGAAAAACTGTAATAATAATGGCAGCAGAGCTAAGAGTAATACATTACAGTGATACCAGTTTCATCTGTTCCCAGGTTCTGATTCCATATTTAATAAGGGATCAAGCCACAAGTCCTGTCCTCTCTTTATTACAGCAGAGGACAGTAGCACAGGAAGTCAAGAGGACAGTTAGACCAAGGGCTGGGATGAAGTTAAGTGGTACAGGAGGTGTCCACAGGTGAGGGACTAGAGAGAAGGGACTATGAGGACTGAGGGGTAATGGGATGGCCGGAGGATACTAAAGCTGCAGTATTTCTATAACCTCCAGGCTTCAGGAGGGGACGTTGCCACGAGGTTTCACAGTTACCTTATTCCCTGTGAACTGCGCTGGGAGCTGCCAGAAGAGCAGATCATCCTGGTGCAAGCTGAAACCTTTGTAGACCAGAAAGTACTGAGAGGCAAAGGAGGAAGGACAGGCAGAGCAGAGTAAGCCACAGATGGAGACAGAGACAGTGAGACTAAAACGTAAGCAGAAAGAGAAGCAATACAAGCAGGCAAGCATGGCAAGAATCAGTCTCAGGACCTAATCTAAACTCTGTTCAGTACATGTTCTGTGGTACAAGTGCTATTAAGACCTGCTGACAGTGGAGTAACACCATAGAAGTCACTCTGACAACTAAAACTACAATTCCACTGTCAATAATGTGAGAATGACAGTTTAAGATGAGCCTCACTAAGAGTTAGTTTAAAGCAGACAACATTATACTGACAGCCCTTCTTAAGCTCTGTCTGACAACTAAAAGTACAATTCCACTGTCAATAATGTGAGAATGACAGTTTAAGATGAGCCTCACTAAGAGTTAGTTTAAAGCAGACAACATTATGCTGACAGCCCTTCTTAAAACCAGCCTTACTCTTACTCTGGACAATTACAGAGGCAGCAGTGAGTGGGGCTGTTTGAACATATCACCTAGTCAAAGATTAGAATTGTGTTAATTTCCATTGTTTGGTAACCATAAACTAAATATAATCTGGATTACTTTGGTAGATCATAATTCTAATCTGTTACAAGTTTCTGAACTAAACATTATCTGCTATGGACACACTTAGGAAAATCAGTTGTTAATTGACTATTAAAGCTTCCTATGGCAGTTTCCTATGTGTATGTCAATCACTCAGTCATGCCACTGTCTACCTTTCTCATGTCCCCAGAAGCACTAGCAGAAGTCTTTCTCACTGAGTTCTTGCTCTGTTGATGCACCGCAGAGCCAGACCCCAAACAGAAACATCAGAAGTCACCAATGTGAGCAAGAAACTAAAATGGCTCATAAACAATCCACACACCTCTCACGCCTCTCACAGTCTCAGAGTGTACCTGCAAACGGGGAGCGTGACCTGGGGAGTAGGGCTGGGGTCTGGCTGCTCTAACTGAAGAGGAGATACCAGACGGAGGAGAGGGGGGGCTCAGGTTATGCAAAGACCAACGAGAGGATGAAGAGGAAGCAGGGACACGAGAAGAAGAAGAGGAAGAGGAAGAGAAAGAGGAGGAGGATTTAGAGAAGAAGGAGGGAGAGAATGGCAGGGAACCCTTTCGTCCATTGGAGAAGTTAGAAAGGAGCTCCCAGACCTCGTCATCCAGCTGTGTGACATCACCCTGCACAGTGAGGCACCATGGGAGCAGTCAAAATGACAGAGACAGGGTTTAAGAACTGAGTTCTTCCACAGTATACACACACCTAAGTACACTGGCGAGATGAACACACTACAGGTGAGTCATGCTTTTCAGTCTATGATGCTTGGGTGTGCGATACAATATCAGTCGGTGTGTTTCTAGGCACTGAAGTAACCAGGTTATACAGGTAATCACAGATCACATTTTCATGCACTGCAGTAACCTGTTTGTTGTCGATAAAGCAAATATTTATCAGTCCAATGCAATCACCTTGATACAACACTTTAAATCAACAACTTCTTTGACTTTAGAAACTTTCCTAAAACTTTGCATGCCAACTCAGATCTTTGAAATTCAAACACATGCAATGCACACGCAGTTATATCCTACAAGATTCTCAGACTCAGCGAGCTGATCCTCCATGCTGCTACATCTATGAACCGTGGGGATTTACTTCCATAGATGTCCACAACTCTCAGTGTGTTAACTTTTAATGACAGAAACGCTGTGCATCACTCATTCTCACTGCATGTGTGAGTGTTGCCTCCAGTGGAGCTCATACCAAATACCTGGCTAGCTTGTTTGGATCTATGGGTGCCTTTATGTTCAGAGGCCATTAGGTTCCACATGGAAGCAGCTTTCCTCAGCTGCTCTTCTGTGTCAGGTTTGCCCGGCAGCACCTTCCTCGCTTCCTTTCCTCACACTAGTCCACTTCCTGGCATTGATTACACTATTCGACACACCTGCCCCGCTTCCCTGATTACTCACCAGCTGCGCCTCATTAGTTTCCCCCTTACTTATACACTGCTCACCATTCACTCCCCTGCCAGTTCAATCTTTGTCTTCGGGCCCCTATATTTCGTGTTTTGCGTTGTGCCTAGTTTACAAGTTACATGTCTCTTAGTTCTTTTTGTATTACTTTTTGGACCCGCTGTTCTCTTTTCCTCCCCTACAGACCTCTCCTCTGGACCCTGGATCTACTCATCCTACCACCCTCCACCATACAGGTCAATGCACAGTCTCCATTAACTGGCTATACATGCTCCTGTCTCCTCAGCCATCCTTCATCCCAACCACGACCAGCCCAGGAGTGATCCCAGCGTCCGCAGCCCGGTCCAGTATCATCCATCATACCACTGACTGTTTTTTGCATCCGCCACTGATCACACCCAGTTACAACTGCCTACTTGACCTCTCTATGTTTGCACATTGCCACATTGTAAATAAATATCACTACTTGCACCGAAGCCAGCTACCTGGGTCCGTTTTTTTTCTGCTCGCTACCGTAAATGAGTCACTCTATCGGTGTGGATAAAGCAAGCCCTTTGATCACTGAGCCCACGGTATTTGGGAGCGTTATGGCAGTGTTTTCCAAGCAAAGTTAAACTGTATGTTAAATGGACCATTAATAATCAGTCCATTTATATGGATCATGAGCACTGCAATGTAAGTGGTCAAATCTAAGGGACACTTAGTGGCCACCTTCAACCGTGCACTGCTGTAAAACTACCATGCCTCTAATAATGATTTCAGTCAACATTAAGAAATGATGAAAACAATAAAACATGATGTGCATCCATAATGTATGGGTATGCACTACATTAAAAATAAAGAAGTATTCATGCCAGACAACACAGTGCACAAATGGCACCAAATGTTATACGTCAAACTCCAGACACAACACAACAGCCACAGACTGAGGTTACTGTACTGTACCTGCTCAGCTCGTTTTGTGCGACTAAAGAAAGAATCTTTCTATAGAGGGTGAAAGGGGCAAACACACACACACATACAATTGCTATGTTATGGAAGTGAACACATGGGTGTTCAAACCTATGCACAACATTTTGCCCTGTGTAAACAGATCTAAAAGAAGATGCAACAAATGGTAGCAATGACAGCAAAGAACCTACACACATCCTGAGAAAGAAACCTGCAAAAGTTTGCTTGAAAAGAAAGACTGGTTGAGGTGCGAAGAAAGAAAAGGCAGCAAAATGGAGACAGCAATAGAGTAAGAGTGGTCTACAACTTTCTTCTACTCAGCCCATTGCACACAGCAGTTAGGTAGTCATGGTACTGCATTGGCTGCTTCCACTGATTCAGCCACAGTATGCGCTCTTTGATACTGACCTTGTCTCCCTGGTAGGCCCCTGGAAACTGCCAGTAGTGAGGCTCCTGTCCCACGTAGTCAAAGTTGCTGTAAGACAACTGAGTGCCCTCAGTGGAAACCTCCACAGTGAAACCAGTAGAGATGCGGTTGGTGCGCTGACGGTTCACCAGAGCGAATCCCTGGAAGTTCCCTGGGTAAAATGCTGAATACACCTGCAAAAGCACATTTAAAAACATTTACAATTAAGCTTAAGCAAATGGTACAATAAATAATGAGAACTGAATCAGTATTACTGCAAACTCCACACAACAATTCTGCATGCAATTACAGTAGTTCAGCTCAGTTTGCCAAAGTCAGCTGACTGAACAGACAAAAATAAAAGGGCTTTGGTCATTCAACTTGTCTTGACTCTCAGAGATAAATAGAGTTCAATTCCTCATGTGTCCAACACACCTGCCCAATAAATCAGATTCTGAAGTATGCCAGCACATTCAGAAGTTCAAGAGACAACACTTTGGACTGACTGTGGCACTAGAAAGGTCCAACACATACACTGTACTGACTGAAGAATATTATAGGTTTCAGTATTACTTGCTACTCTGCACAGTATGTGACCTTACTCACTTCACATTTCTCACCCTTTTGCCCTGAGGTAGTTCTGAGAGACAAGAAGTCAAGTTGTCATTGCAGTCATTCACTAAGAAGGGGAGAGGAGATGCACAGGAGTAACTGGGTTGAAGATATCAGTCAGTCTCTGGCCAACACCACTGATGGATGTGATGTTATTGGCTTAGAACCACTTCAGGTTGGAGTGATGAGGGTAAATTTAGACTCCCTTATTTAGAGTACACACACGTCTCTAAGTGTGCAACTCACATGTTGATATGATTGTGGCTATTTCATAGTGCAAACCTTCATTTGGTCTTCTTCTTGAAGTACTGCACTGCTCCTATGTGACTGTGCCATGTACCAAGGCCTTACCAAGTCTCTATAGTAGGTAGAGCTTGAGCACTGCTGAGTGACGCCCATACAGAAGCAGGACAGGCAGCCATCTTTGTTTTCCTGGCTGAGATGGAAGGTTCCAGGCTTACAGCTGGAGCAAGATGGGCCTTCAACGTTCATCTGTAGCATAGTATCAGGGCAATAAGATGCAGTATAAGGCAGTAACTCTATGCCAGGATAACCAAAAGGTAAATACAACCAGAGAGCTGGGGTAAATAAACAGTGCCATTTTTGATCACCTTGCAGTGGCACACACCACCACTGCAGCTTTCTCGTCCCCTTTGATCACAGCTATAGCAGTTACCTGTAACAGTAGAGCAGAGAGTTGAAGCATAAGCCATTTCTTCATTGAACACACTGTTAAATCCACATTAATGAAATTAAAGGGGTCTTTGCAACTTTTGTCATGGTATATAATAAGACAAGAAGACAGTATCAGTCATTTTCCTGGATCAAAATAGAAAATGTACCATTGACTTCATTGTTGCTACATCTTTGTCCAAGCAGTGGGTTCCCGGTGTATCCTGCAGCACATCTGAAATAAAATAGACAATGTGTTTGAGTAAACATTTCCAGTCAAAGAGGATACAAGTTTTAATCCAAGGAACAATGAGGCAGGAAACTGCAAAAGGTGACACATGATGAATTGTGGCCTGTAGGATGTCTTCTTGATCCAAGGCAGACTTCAACAATGAACAAAACACTGAGATCATTCAGACCAAGGACATACAAACTATTCTTTTATTCCCTCCAGTAAATACACATATCTACACTAAAGGCTAGTCTTACTTTGATATGACCCAAAAATCACAGACACACAGCTTATGCAACATATACTAAGAGTTTTCCCAGAGAGAAAAGATGATTGAACACTGCTGGAACTGGAGATGGATGAAGCATAGCTGCTGCTAAACCATTCAACATGTCTCAGATGTTGATTCCATCTCGTAAATGAGTGTTGCACAGTTGAAACAGAGGAAACACCTTTGCACAGAAACTGAAACATTAACAGAAATTCAGACAATATCACCAGATTAAAACGTTAATACAGAAGTGAGTGTGGCTGGTACGATGAGCCGCAGAAGAAGATGCTTAGCTGCTGAAGAGAAAGGAGATGTCTCACACTGTGACATAGCAAAGCCATTCACCTTCAAGCCAAGCCAGCAATGCCACTACCACTAGAGCAGAGGCTACTCTAACCACAGCAGGTCAGTCTTACCTCACCTGTCCAGGTCCGCAGGTCAACAGCCAACAAAGAGGACTTCCATGCTATGAGCTTGCTTTGGGAAAAGTCTTTAGTTTTGCAAGTACTTGGTCACAAACCAAAGTATTAGAAAAATTTACATTTGGACCTGATGATGGAGCTGGATGAAAAGTTAGGGTGCACATGAGGTGTTCAAAATGTGCTGGAGGTAAATAGACCCTGAGGTAGTCTGGCCATAGCAAAATAGACAAATATATATCCATGACAGGTACTAATGTAAAACTCTCTCTACAATTATTCTATTTGCCATTAAATACACCTTCAAAGTCATTAGTATCAAAATGGAAAAAGCTGCCACATTAACGTGATATTAAACTTCTGGAAGGTCCTCCTAAGTTCAGTTGACATGGTACAGCAGCCGGTAGCAGTAAGAGATAAATATCAGGATCAGCGCCAAGAGATATAAACAACTAAAAAATAAAAATAATGAAACACAACACATCATATTCCCTAGTCATCAGGGATGATTCTGATGGGAATTGCCAGCCTTCCCAGGACAACATGAAGAGAACCATGTTGACTCTTTTTCTGGTTTGCAGGCAGATCTCCCTTTAAGAGCCTCAGGAGATCCAAAACATCAGAATAAGGGCTTGTCTTCTTTTTCTGCTGGGTTTTTTTTGTTACTTTCTTTGCAGTAGTAGCCTTGGTTTTAGGTGGTAGTGACACCTGTTTCACTGTTGCGGTAGACTTCTTCTTCACAGTAATAGCCTTGGTTGTTTTCCTTTTTACTGTTGTTTTAGACTTCTTTGCACTAGTGGTCTTGGTAGGTTTTGTGGTTGTGACTATGTTCTTAGCAAAATTCTTTGCTTTGTGAGAGACCGACTCTTTGTTTTTGTTTTTGTTGCTGCCTACTGAAGACTTTCTGCCCTCTTGAACCTTCTTTAGAAGTGGTGCATCTGACCTAAACGCCTTGTTAGGTCTACTCTTTTTAACAGGTGGTGCAGATTTCTTTTTATTGTCCCGGTCAGACTGTTTGTGCACCTGAGGGGTTCTCGCAGGCTTTGAGCTGTGAGCTGGTGGCCCCAGTTGAAATGTAGTGATTGTTGCTTTTTCTTTAACTTGCTTCTTGAAGTTTGCTTGGTTTTTCTGTGAAACCTCTTTAGCTGTCACAGCAGCCCTCCCACTCTTTGGCTGTTCTGTTTCAGACTTCACTATAGTTTTAGATGCAGTCCTTGGTTTGTTCAAGGTTGTCCTTAACTTTGTTGCTGAACTTTTTGAGACTTGACTTTTAGATGACCCAGTGATTGAATGGAGCTTTGAAGGGTTCTTTTCTTGCTTAGTGGTGGCTGGACCAAGTTTTCTGTCTCTCCAAGGAGCAGAAGTAGATTTGTTCCAGGGGAGACCTGGAGTAGGTATGTTTTGAGGCACTTTGGTTTTACTGGTGAGTGGCGTTTCTGTAGGAGGCTGGGGTGTTGAGTACAATGGGACTGCAAGTTCTGTGGCGACTAAAGGCAGAACCCTCTTTTCTTGGGGAGAACGAGAGATGTGTCTAGTGCGTTTCATCTTGTTTATCTCCTGAGCCAAGGCAGTGAAACCATCGATCAGGATTTCCAGCCTCCCCTCTAGTCTGGTCAAACGGGCCTCCATATTTGTGTAGCTCTTCTCCAGCTCCTGAACCCTCTTTTTCTTCTCGCCAGCTGAATGTAGAGCGATGAGCTCCTTCAGCTGGGTGCTGAGATGACTCTGCTGCTCCTCCATACTACGGATGCTCTCCTTCATGTCAAGCGTGTTGCTTTCCAGCATACTCAGGCGCCGGTTAAAGGTGTTCAGGTGTATCCGGAGCAACTGCTGGAAGCTGGAGCGTCTGATTTCTGGGCTGGGTGTGAAGGGTGGTGGGACCCTGGATGCTAATCTGTTGGGAGTGGCTGAGACAACGCCCGCTGCTTTAGTGGATTTAGTAGTGTGATAATGAGGTGTAGTAGACAGTGAAGTCCTAGCAGGGATCACAGTCGCTCCTATGGTAGCAACAGGCCGAGGATAGTCAATGTCTTCATCGTCGTTGTCTCCGCTGCCGTACGGCACTATTTCTTTCTCCCAGCTGAGATTGAATACTGCTTCCCCTCCACATCCCACAGGTAGGAATTCTTCTATCTGCTTCTCCAGGAAGGGGTCCCCGCAACTGTCTGAAGACAGCTTCTCTTCTCTTAATGTCAAAACAGCAGAATCAGGTATGATGCAGGCAGAGATGTGCGAAAAATAAATGTTTTTATGAATTTCATCTTACACCCAAGTCACCATGTCATCTTTGTGCTCAGAGTGGCAAAGATTTATTAGCCAGACAGGAGTTCTCATAAATGCCACATCTACATTTATGTGTTAGAGGCCCAGAGACACATTTGGTGTGTGCACAAACAGAAATCACTAGCAGCAAAACACAAAGCTGAAGCGGAAAGCAACCACTGAGAGGGCTTTTGGAATTAAAGCAAAGGCAGAAGAAAGCCAAAGTAAAACATTTATTAACTAGACTAAAGGTTTTTAGGACATAAAGCACAGTTATTTCTACACTGGCATTTTTCTTTTCACCAAAACATAAAAACTGAATTATGACATTTTGAGTACCACTAGTGGTGCCTTTCATTATTCTGTCTCACAGTAGAAAACATTATCCAACAGCCAAACTAGATAAACAGGACAGTACAAACTATCACATATACATCAGAATGGGTGGCACTGATTTGCATCTCCCATCCTTCCACTGACGCAATCACAGCTGTTTTGAAGAAAACAAGAGAAACGTAAACCACACATGCTTCTATTCCTTTCCTGTGAATGAATGAAACCAGTAGGTGCCAGTGCCAGCCCATGCTAACCTTGCTGCCGACCCACCCAGGTAAACCCCAGGTAAACTCCAACACTGAGCAGTGTGCAAACGACCCTGAGATAAAGACAGAAAAGAGCAGGGAAAGGGAAAAAGAGTTGGGAGGGTACCTCTCACAGCGTCGACCAGTGAATCCAGGGGGACAGTCATCACATGTCGGCTGACCATCAGAATGCAGATAACAGGTCTGGGAGAATCTGTGAAGATGCTCTTCTTTAGCACTAACCATGTTGGTTCATTTACAGTTTGATCTCTTGTTATTATGGGTCATTAGAATAAAGTGTTTTATTAGCTGCTGCCCTGCTCACAGTTTCCTTTGTCTGATGGAGCATTACACATAACAGTCAACGTTAATCTACACTGAATAGAACTGACTCTGACTGACAAAATTATTAGACATGAACTCACTGGTTGCTGGATGTGGTTCCAGGACAGGGGCAGGGCTGGCAGGCTTGAGCACCGCCCGTCAAAGGGTTTCCATAGAAACCAGTCTGACAGCGTTCACACCTTGGCCCGGCAGTGTTATGGAGACATTGCTTTTGGTCAGGACACACAAATAAAGAAGCGGTGAGCTCAACAGAATAGTTAAACACACAGTAGTTATGAGTGACAGTGTTTCTCCACATGTTGGGATTTGTTAAAAACAAAAACATTAGCGCATTCCAGTGAAGAGATCAAAGCAGGTTCAACTTAGCATAAATTCTACCAGACAGTTGCCGGTCTCCGGGTCACAGCTGCTGGCGTGACCGTTGCAGTCACACCTCTCACATGTGCCCAGGTAAAGGCCAGAGCTGGTCCTGGTGTAGCCTTCATCACACTCCTGTAATGGTATAGAAAAACACCTCAGGTGAGAGACAAGTGATGATGACAACTGAGCAAACTTGCGTTATCGATGAAGGCTGAGATGCAGATGAAAGCTCCAAAAAGGCTAGAGACTGGACCTGAAGATGGTTTTATAAAGCTGAACTACTTCTCTGAAATCTGCACGTGTACCTGGCATGAGGGCCCTCTGTATCCCTGGGGGCAGGCGCACGCTTCCACCTCCAGAGCACGTTCATTACCAGTGGAGTGAGGAACAGCTATGTCCATCTTGATGTCGGAAATGCTATTTAGCACACACACACAAAACAATGAACTCTCTATTTGCTATTATACAAAATATCTTTTTTTTTATTTTGATGTATATGAATGGGCTGCGCATTGTCAGAAGACGCTCCAACCACACCTGGTCTCAATCATGCTGTCTGCGTAGGTGGCCCTGATCATGAAGACAGTAATGTCAGCCAGAGTCATCAGGAGGTGCTCGCGAGTGCACGGCTGCCCATCGGAACGTCTCCACATAGACTGTTAGCCAGAAGGAAGAGAAACGTTAGTCCACGGACACTGTGAGAGGATTCAGATACCCTTCTACCAACACTAATGAAACACACTTCTCTGAAGGTCACAGTGATGGTTTGTGGGACACGAGGAAGGGGACTGGTCTGGGAGTAGTGTTCCAGGAAGATGCCATTGCCCTGAAGAACCACATCTGGCTGACCACGAGTCGTCAGCGAGCGGTGAGGAGGTTCGAAGCGCACTGTGTAGCGAAGCTCCCCGCCATAGGCTGTCACCTGGTAGCAACATGGTGAAGAGAGAAGCTCATCTTAACAAAACTGAATAGTGGAAAGGTATTTCACCCCTGTGATACAGAGGGGGATGTCAGTCACATGACACCCATGCTGGGCTTCACTGTGAATTCAAGCCAAAAGTTCAAAGGAGGCTTGTTGTGTGCATAGGTGCAGCCTTTCCACTTGACAACTTGTTGAGGCATGACTGACTGGGCAGGAGTAATCTAGGCTGACTAACACCTGAGAGTCTTTCCCTCTCCTCTCCTCCAGCCTGCTCTTTACTTTGTTGTTTTCTCTCACCTTATCTCCATTGAAGCTCTCAGGCAGGACCCAGTAGTAGATGTCGCTGGGGACCCTGTAAAAGGAGGTGTAGACAACTTCAGAGGAGCCTCTCTGGAAGATGTCTTCAGAGATAGTGTTCGTGTTGGCCCTGTTGGAGAGGGAGAAGAGCTGCCCGTTCACCCCTCCTCGCACCTGAGAGACAAGGTTTGTCAGAATGAGATGTGAACTGAGATTTACATACGCTCACACTTCAGCACAATCCTCTGTTTGCACACTGCATCTCTGTATTTCACATCTGAAAGGATCTGCTGATACAGCAGGACTGCACAAACACTGAGTCAAACCTCTACAACATAAATATTCACCGCTCCCTTAACTCTCCACAGCCTATCAAACTACCTGATCTCTGTTCCAAGTGGAGCTGGCACACTGTTTGGTGACGCCCATACAGAAACAACGAAGGCAGCCTTCAGAGTTGGCCTCTGAGAGGTGGAAGAACCCAGGCTTACACTCATCACAGAGAGCTCCTGCCACGTTGTTCTGCAACACACACACACATACATGTGCATATGTAATCCATCTGCATGTCAAGCTCATTTCTTTCATTAAGAATGACAGCAGAATATATAACAGTAAGATGAATCACAAATGAGCTGCAGATTTAATGACAGATGGTTATAATATGATCCTAATAGATCACTTTGCAATTTTCCATACTGTATTTATACCTTGCAGCTGCATGGCTGGCTGCTGGAGCTGATAGTTCCTCTGTTGTCACAATTGTGGATAGCTGCAGGGACACAGCAGAAGAAAGAAGATGACATATGGGGACCTGGGCATGCTCTAGCCATTCTACATACCACAGCCATGACCACATATTACAGCCTATGGTAACAGCAGGGAAAGCCCTGATGCTAATCTTTACAGAGGGTAAGACTCCTTGAGTTCATACTGCCAAATGACTGAACTGTTCAACAGGTTAAACAATCAAGACTTTCAAAAATGTCAGCACAGTTGTTCAATGTATACTCACGGCGAAGAACACATTTTCCATCAGGAAGAAGAGGATTACCCTGGTAACCAGGAGCACACCTGAAATAAAACAGAAATATAAAAGATATGCTTGACCTATCACAATCATCAGCCGTAGCTTGTTCTGCTTGTTACAATCAAAATTTCATTCTAGAGTAGGCTGTGTAATCCTATCATGCCATCTAGCATTATCAGGAGTCATAAAAGACTGATGCCACTTTTTATAAACCACATCACTGCCATCTGAAAACTGTTTAGACCACAGTCTAAAGGCACAGGGCATGATATCAGTTTCCTCACCTTTCACAGCGTCTGCCTGTGTAGCCGGGCCTGCAGGCATCGCACGTTGGCTGCTGGTCAACATCCAGGAAGCAGGTGTCAGAGAACCTACAAAGAAAAGGTCCTAGATTAAATTTAAAGCACTGGGTTAATAAGTAACATGCTGAATTAATGAACCTGTGTTCAAACATCTGAATGAGCTCAGCTTTTGGGAATAAAAACCTGCAGGGCGAAACTGCTCATTTGTAATGCCATAATTCCAAGGGGATGCATGTGCCTGAGGGTGTGCCCCATTATTTTTTATGCGAGATGTGGCCATGCGTGGTCTGGGTGGGCCTGTGGCCTTACCGCCGTGTGGTCTCATAGTACGGGCAGGGGCAGGGCTTGCAGTCATCGGGGCGCCCTCGGCTTGGGTCACCAAAGTAGCCGGAGCGACACTTGTCACATTGCTGGCCTTCTGTGTTGTGCTGGCAGCTCTGTGGCAGGGAGAACACACTGGTCATTCTTTTACATGAATGCCACCCAAAATTGTTGAGAAGAATAGCTTGACATTTTGGGAAAAATGCTTATTTGCTTTCATGCATTATTTGAAAAAACTGAAACTACTTTTCTCCCTACGCTAAGGAGTTGATTAGCTCAGCGTAGCATAAAGGCTAACGGAAGTGACAAAAACAACTTGCCTGGCTCTGAAAAGAAGATTACTAGCACCTCTAAATTGAACAATTTAACACATTATAACTTATTAGTATAATTTTTACACAAACAGAAATACAAAAGCAACAATGTGAGGGTTTCGAGTTTCTCATTTCCACTTCATGTTCTGGCATGGAACTCCCCAAAAGCACAGTTTGTAATTTTTACACCTCTGTATGGGTCACATTAAACAAATGTTTTAAACATGGTACCTAGCTTTAGAGGGGCTGTTTTCCTGTTTCTATGCTTTATTCTGAGCTAACATGCTTGCTAGGTGGCGCTTGCTTCATATTTAGAATACAAGAATAAAAGTGGTATTGATCGTGAGAATGATAATTGAGCATACGCTAACAACGCAAATATTTCATTCATATTATTTTCTTTGAGTAAACAAACATTTATTACATTTTACAGTTACAAAGTGAGGTGTGCTTTATCAGTGAAGTAAAATTTGTCATATGTGTTTGACAGCCATTCTTGCCCATAAGTAGCTAGTTATTACCAGACAATGCCCGCTGATCGGATCACAGGCACTGGCGTGTCCATTACAATTACAACCAGTACAGGTGCCAAGATAGACGCCACCAGGGACACGTTCAAAACCAGGGGAACACATCTCACAGGACAAGCCTGAATATCCAGGAGGACATCTGGGAATGATAAGTCAACAAGTTTGTTTCAACACAAACTATTACAAGTCAAATTACACCATAAAATGTGATGAGGTAAATGAAAAACAGCTGACTGAAGCACAACCAAAATACATTTCTATTTTTGGGAGCATTCTGCCTTTTCTTTAAATAGCTTACAGTGGAAATACTTAAAAAAAACACAAGGGGAATGATATACAAAGGTCAAAATTATTTCAAAAACAGTCATTGCCTGTATGAACTTACTGTATTATTATACAGGACTCTCTACATACTGGATATATACCCACAAACTTTTGTCTCACCTGCACTCTTCAACATCGTTAGCATGACCATGAATGCTGAACTCCACGGTGGTGGTATCCATGATGATATCACTGAGTCCCACGCTGACCATGTGGTTGTCATAGATTGTGCGGATATTGATGCTGTCAAGGTTGGCCAGTGTCATCATCAGCTCCTCCCGGCTCACAGGACGGCCACTGGAGTGCTGCCACTTATCCTAAAACAGTAACAAGTAGGTTTACTGATATATGAACACTTTAAGCTTAGTTCAGTTTGTCAGGAATAGGGGATTTATAGTTTTTGTATGATTTTAATTCCTCCATCATTATTCATGACTACAATTTCGTCAGAAGTTTGTTATTGTAAAATTTGGGGTTGGTCCTTTTAAACCTTATCCTTGACAACATTTTTGTATTTTCTTTACAGTCATCACAAATGTACCACAGGATTGTGCAGCATCTGAGACAACATAACCAAAGACCTACTTCAGTGAATATGATCTCTTTCTGGTTGACCACTAGGGAAGGGGTGGGGCTGCCTCTGCGGTATATAAGCCTACGTCCATTTCCAACTAGAATCACATCGGGCTTCTCCACAGGCTCAGACAGACCGCGGGCCAATGTGTACCGCACCTTGTACTTCAGTGACCCTCCATAGGAGTCAATCTAAAAACAGATGGAATGTTTTTCATATAAATGTGATAATAAGTAAAATAAAGCCTGCAAAGAATTTTACTCTTTACCTTGTTACCCAGGAACTGGCGAGGCAAAGTCCAGAAGGAGTCAAGGTTGAGGAAACGGCGTGAAAGGTCAACGAGCTGGAACTCTTCTATCTCGGGGTTAATGAGGACCTGAGTGGAGGAGAGGGGGGGAGTGCCCGGCCGAGATGGGTAAGTGACATTCACTCCTGCAAGTACAGAAAACAGAGTCACTCCATCATCTTATACTTGTATTCATGGTTAAAATGTTGGTGCTAAAGTAAATCTCCGTGGTATCAATGGTTTCAGTGCCTTTGAAGTTTTCTTCCTCAGTGAAACGCAGGCTGATCTGGTCGCGGTAGCGGCCGGTGCTCTTGCAGTTCTTGGTGATTCCGGCACAGAAGCAGGACACACATCGGCCATCCACACTGAAGTGACCATCAGAACAGTTGCCTGGAAAAATCAAAACAAAGGACAAAAGCTGTTTTATAACTTTAATCAGAATTCAGTTATGGTTTGTTAAAACTGCAGTGCCTCTTACAGTGAGCCCACAGTAAAAAAGAAGCGTCAGTACCTGGGTCTGGATACGAGATGAGAGTTAGCACTCCATCAGGGATACCGAACACCAGGCCTTTAGCATTGATAGCCTCACAGGTGTAGGCCCCCTGATCTGCCTCCTTCACATTGTGAATGGTGAGGGTGCCGTGGCCGTTCTCGCTGGTCATGGAGATCCTAGTAATACCAATGAAAGAACAAATGACTATTTTTACAATCAGTGGAGACTATGTGAACCTTATATACCACAGTCAATAGTAGGAACTCTGCTCTTTCTGACTCTCACTGTATCAGTCTGAGGAAATATTGTTACATAAAAATACCAAAGATGAAGTGTAATTGCCTAACTACACACAGCAGGCTACGCTAAGAACAAACATTCTGACTCAGCAACAGTACACCACAAATTCCTCAATAATTAAAATCCCAGTTAAGAGTTGAAACACTGACGTAGGAAGTCTGTTGACAGTTCCCAAAGAACACGTGTCAAATGTCAGTGAGAAGAGGAAATAAATTCATTGTCATTTTCAGTTCTTCGTGGTCTGCTACAGTTCAATTATGTAAGACCGGCTTTCACCTGATGCTGGTGCTTTGTTTGAGACAGCTCGTCCATACGATGTAATACAATCTAATGTAGCATCAACAAAATCAATTCTACAGATGTTCAAAATCATTTGGGCAGTATTTTCCATGATCTCTCAATAAATTGCTGGTCTACTTAGTTTGTTAGCAGGTTTTAATTAAGTACTCTTCATCAATTTCTCATTGAATCCACCTATTGCTGATGGGAATGTGGCCCCAGTTGAGTCTCCAGGTGATGATGGGTGTTGGCACCCCAACTGCATGACAGGTGAACGTCACCGTCGACCCCCGTGCTGCTTGAACAGACTCCTCCGGTGGGGTTGTCACAGAGGGGGGGGCTGTAAAAATGACAAAAGGTGGGAACTGTGTAAGCCACAGTAAGTGCACATATATAAAAGTCTGGCATGTGACTGGAAGTCGGCAATCCAGTGAACCTCAAAAATGTCCTTAAAATATAAGGAAGTATAATTCTATGGACTATGGATGGACAATTCCCTTTCAGTTCTGTGGAATGATGATTCTCAAAAAGCTCTGTGTCTCTGTGAAAAGAGCCTGGTTCACAGCAGATTAGTCACAGCATACAAAGAAACTCAGAGGGAGACTAGAGAAGGGAGTTAAAGAAGCAAAGAGCAGGACAGCAAAAAACTGAAAATGTGCACAAGAGTGGAAAGACAGATTGTAAGAGCAGAGGGCTGTGGACAGCGGCTGCTGTGAGACTTACTGCAGCCATACTCATCGGAGCGGTCAGGGCAGTCTGGCTCTTCGTCACACTGGTAACTAGCTGGGATGCAGGTGCGATCACTCAGGCATTCAAACTGCTCAGGAGCACACCTGTCGCCAGGACCCTTGGTGGCTGTGGTTTTGACAAAACAGACATAGCACTTCTCTTTATTTAACCAGGTAAAAAACCCATTGAGATCACGATCTCTTTTACAAGGGTGACCTGGCCAAGAGGTCAACAACACATGTCGTCAATACATAAGTTTCAATACAAATCAAAAACATTAAACATTTAAAACAATACAACCAATTTAAAAACACCTACACTGACCAAGAGAGTCCTGTTGCCTAAGAGCCATAAGGGAATAAAAAGCTTTAACTGAGCATAATTCAGTAACTTTCAAATCTGCTTGGAAACTATTCCACGAAGAGGGAGCGGCAAATCCAAAAACCCGTTTCCCTTTTTCGGTCCGAACTCTCGGCACCATGAGCTGATACTTATCACAAGACCGTAAGGCATATTTGGTATCCGATCTACGTAAAAGAGAGCATAAGTATGCCGGAGCTAGGCCTACCAAAGCCTTGTACACTAGCACCATCCAATGAACATGTCTTCGCATGCTCAGAGACAACCACTGTGCTTTAACATACAGGTCGCAATGGTGCGTTAGTCGACTACAACCCGTCACAAACCTCAAGGCACTGTGGTAAACCACATTTAAAGAATGGAGACATCTAGCTGAGGCATTCATATACAGTACATCACCATAATCCAACAGGGGAAGAAAGGTCGCTGATATTAAATATTTGCGGGCCTGCAAGGAAAAGCAGGATTTATTACGATAAAAGAATCCAATCTTCATCCGTAATTTTCGAACCACATTAGCAATGTGGGTTTTAAAAGACAACTCA